GCTCCAGGTTGAGCTGTTGTTCAGCATCTTAGCTGTGGAGGGCAGTGTCACTGGCCCTCATATGTGGGATCTGAACCGGGCCCCTCTGGCATCCCAAGCCAGCTCTTAACCAACGCACCACTCGGCCAGCCCTGATCGGCACCTTTTAGAAGACATCACCTAGATGTACGAATCCCAGATGAATGACTATTTCGATTGCTTTGTAAACAGGCATCGAGGGACATGCCCTAGACACAGTAACTGAAGACATAAGCAGTCAGCAGCCCTACTCACAGCTTTCTTACCCATGGGCTTAGCAGTAGCTGGTTTGGTAGCGGCCAGTCTGGCTGCCTGGGGCTTGGGGGCCTCAGGCTTTGTGGCCACTGGTTTGGCAGTGGTGGGGGGTCTTGCAGCTGCTGGCTTCACAGCTGCAGACCTCGTTGCCATGGGCTTCACAGCCGCTGCAGGTCTAACCATGTCCATCTCCGCGGCCTCAGGCTTGGCAACCACAAGTCTTGTGGTGGCCAGCTTTGTAGGGAGCAGCTTTGCAGGGGCCGACTTCGCAGGGGGCAGCTTTGCAGGGGCTGACTTTGCAGGGGGCAGCTTTGCAGGGGCCGGCAGGTTTACCATAGTTACTGGTTTGGTTGTGGTGGTCACTGGTTCTGTGGTGGCCACTGGCTTTGCTTTGGTCACTGGTTTGGATGTCGGACTTGAAGTGACATTATTTGGAATGTTCCTGTTAAAACAAATTTAATATTGTTTCAACCCATACATAATCACTGCCTGCTGTCTACTGTAGACAGACATAACCCCATGAGCTATGCGAAATGTGCTACAGGAGTTTTTTTGTCTTACACATAAAATTGCATATATTAAACTCCTTCATAGGACCTGCGCCGCAGAAAACTCAATGAACAGCAATAAAAAAACAGAACCATTAAACATGAAGCCTATATTGTACTATAGATATATCTGACATCTTATTTTCAATTTATGAGATAAAAGCAGAGAGAGAGTAAAGAGACAATAATAAATATTTTAATAGTCATTATTTGTATTGTTAACAATAATAGTTGACCAATATACTAATTATAAAAATTGATCTACTCAATTGATATACACCAAAAATTAAATAAAATCAGTTAATGGCTACTCCCAATATAAGAAAGCATCCACTCAACAAAATGCTGTGCTTAGCTAGAAAATTATAAAGTCAGAGTATTATTTCCACTCCCAGGGCTTACTGTGTATTTTTGTTTGCATTAATTTGTATGTGTGTGGTTGGTTTTTACACAATTTCTTTTTTTTTTTTTTAATATGGAACGCTTCACAAATTTGCGTGTCATCCTTGTGCAGGGGCCATGCTAATCTTCTCTGTATCGTTCCAATTTTAGTATATGTGCTGCCAAAGAGAGCACTTTACACAATTTCTTGATCTATTACGAATCCCTAAAGAGAACAGCAACATAATTAAACAGACACAATGGCCCAGACCCACCCTTTGTCTCTTTCTTGCCCTGAGACGAACATTCATTATGTGATAGATCGTGCTATATGTCATATGCAGTGTCTGCTCAAGCTGGTATCATAAAACTTCAAAGACTAGGTTTGTCCATTCTGTTTCTCTAAAGATAAGGTTGAGCCAACTTTAGGAAATGCTCGGGAGGAATTATAAAGATGATTAAAGGCCTGTGACGCGAGATCAGGCAGGATGGCATCACAGTGCTGGAAACGGGCCACAGCTGCCTTACTAACGAAGCTCAGCTAACGAGACCGAGATCTGAAGTGTCCCCTCTGAGGACAGAGGCAAGAGCTGAAGGACTTGAGGGCTGAATGACAGACGGGTACACAGTGGGAAGAGGCGGGCTCTGCCTCTCGACCCTGGAGGTCAGCTAGGAGGAAGCCAGATGTTCGTTTTTCAAGGATAATTCAAATCCACATCTCATCTGGGTGCAGCAGTCAGAACCCCTGTGCTCAGTTTCTGCACCACATGCCCCCCACCTAGCTCTGTGTCACATGGCCACATTGCTCTCCCATCTGCTCCTGGAGTTGGCACCAAAGAAGGAGCAGGTCATAAGGTTACTGAGCACATGCCAGGTGGCCAGCATCCCTGTGGTCATCATAGTCCTTCCCATCTCCTAACCATCTCATTAGTCTCCCTAGTAGAGTACATGCGGCCTTCCATCGCTACTACCATCACCTGTGTTATTAAAGCATTAATCATTTGAAGATTTGTAGCCCATTTTTTTGCTTAATATATCTAATCCTTCTATAACAAATCATTTTTTATATGGTAGACTGTTGGGACACAGGGCCCCAACTCCCACCCTCTCTGTACCCATGCCCTTTACATTGTGATGTGACAAGTCCTCCTCACCCTTAAATCTAGCTGGGCTGGCATTTAGACATCTTTTGGTCAATAGGATGTGTCAGAAGTAAGAGTGTGTCTGTTCTAGCCTAGGTCTCAAGAGGCCTTGCCCACTTCCGCCTTCTCTCGTGGAACCTTGCCCAGTCACCTGTGGACAAACCCAGGTTTTCCACTAGAGAATGAGACACCGCATGGGGCAGAGATGCGCCATCCAGCTGAGATCATGCTAGACCCAGTCCACAGCTGATGAGCAGCTGACCACAAACATACAAGGGAGCCCAGTAGAGGCCAGAAGAACTGCCCGGCTGAGCCCATGCAAAATTTGCTAACCCACAGAATTGCAAATTAAATCAATAGTTGTTTTAAGCCACTATGTTTGGGGTTGTTTGTTATGCAGCAAAAGCTTAAAGGTACAACAGAGGCTTCAAAAAGAATGTCCCACGTGACATCTGGGACATCACATTTTCTGGATTTCAATGTCCTCACCCCATAAAGTTAGGCACTGGAGGACCTCTGTATTCCCTCTAGCACTGTCATTTGGGAGACAATTATTATAGTCACTTACACTTGTTTGTGACCAAATTTCGCAAGATTCTTTGCCGGTTGATCTCCTTGGAACCAATCACACTGTTTCCTGATATCTGGGGACAAGTAGAAAGCATTTTCACCTAGAGAGAAACAGGAAAAAAAAATTATATATATGTATGTATATATATATATATATATATATATATATATATATATATATATAAAGTACATGTGAATAACTTGCAAATTAAAATGAATCTTCTAATAAGTTAAATGAATCATATAGTAGGAAGTCCATAAATACCTGTTGTATTAATTAATTCTTCCAGACATGCTAAGTCCAGTGATTTTAAACCTTAAGTATAATGGTACTTGATCTATAAAACATCTTAAGCCAATATCTTCCACTTGGCAATTATTTGGGTGATTCAGTTAAAGGTAATGTTTCCTCAATGTGAGGAGGAAGACAGGAATAGAAGGAAAGTCAAGTGCAGAGTAAACAAGTTCCAAGCTCTTAAACATCAAATTATAACCAAATTACTTTTAATGTGGTGGTTAGCAAAACTTTTGTTTTCAATCTTCTGAAGACAATGGCCCCAGGGTAAACTGACTGGCTTACCTTTGCTTCCCATTTTTTTCCCTAAAACTTTTGGGGGACAGGCTTCATAAGTGTGAACACTGTTTTGGGGGACCTCACCTTTCCCCTGAATAATAACCACTCCATATATACGTGTTTATCCATACTTTACGCATCTCCCTCCTTTGTTAGATGCCTTCCTGTGACAACTCGGGGCCACACTCTCTGTGAGGCTCTAGGGGACACAGTGGTCAGTGATACACCTTCTCTAAGACCACACAGTCCACAGGACCACAGACCCATAAATGAATGACCAACGGGCCACATAATAGATGAGGTAAGTATAGTGTCCAGATTAACGATGAGCAAGGCTTGGGAGTGGAGAGCACCCAGGCTGAGTAGGGGCCACTGGACATAAGTTCTGAAGACAAATGTGGATTTGCTTTTAAAGCGGAGATAGCGAGCATTGTGGGAAGGGGAGCCACACTGGCAAACACTCAAAGGTTTCCAAGTGTGGGGCTGGTATGCAAGCCCAGATCAATGCCGCTCCTTCTGGAAGCCACACCAATGCCCCATCAGGATACACGTCTCTGCGACATGCCAGCATATTATGTCATGCATAATAACTGTGCACTTGACCCGTTCCCCCACCTAGACTATAAACTCTCAGGGACAACGTGTCATGGGCGGGAGGTGCCCAGTCGAATTTGGTTGAACAAACTTGTGAACAAGGATAGGGTTTCCGTCTGCGTTCCCTGCCAGTTCTGGCTCCTAACGTGTGCCTGGGATGTGGCGGGCATTGGTATACCAGGGTGCCAAAAAACATGTATACACATCTTAAGAGATGTTATCTATGTATTATTTTTCAAAGTTGAATTGAATTACGGTAGCAACGTGTAGTATGACGTTTGCTCAAAAGATGGCATTCATCAAATGAATGCTAGCATCACCATGCGACAGGCAGGACAAAGAAAACGACAGAAGCACAGCTGTCATTCGAGGAGCACAAGACCTCGAAATTTGAGAATGTTGTGGATGTACAATGACATGGAGGCATGAGGATGCAATAGAACCTCCAACACGCCTAACAACTGCACGCATTTGTGATGAGTTTGAGACACATGGCACTATGTGAAGAAATTGAAATGGCATGCACAGCTATACCAGTGGACACTTTGGTCAGCGCTGCTCAAGTAGTAGTTCACCGTAATCAGAAGTGTCTGGACACTGACAAGAACCACTTTGAGCACCTCTTGTAATTGCAGAAGTCAAATGTGACTTGCATTCTTTTCTTGTTATCAGCATATATTGAGTATTACAATTTTAATACAGTTTTTTCCTTTCTTAAAATGTGTATACACTTTTTTGGCACCCTCTGCGTACTGTTGAGTGAAAGAGCAAGGCACTGTCAGCACACAAGTTGCCTATTCCACGCCTGGGCCTGCGGCCCCCACCACTGATAGCCCAAGGGTGTGGCCCAACGGAGAGCCGGGCCAGGGCCCGGGACGTCCAGCAGGACTTACTGCTGACAAAGGACGGCAGCAGCCTCCCAAAGCGCATTAGGGGCTCCTCGTTGAGCTCAGTGCACTCATCCACCAGTTTGAAGAAGACGTCGTTTGGCTCGCTGGCGAAGCTGTACACCTCCTTGATGTTGACGTTCCTGCCAATGCCCAGGATCACAAAGACGTAGCCCTTGCACTTGGCCTGCAAGATGGCTCTCTGGGCCTCCTCCAGCTGTGGCTTCGGCACCTCGCCCGTCAGCATCAGGACCACGATCTTCAGGTCCCGCGGGTTGGGCGCGCTTTCAAAGACATTCTCGACGGTGTATTGGATGGCGCTGCCCAGGGCCCTGGTGCCCTGCAGCTGTGTCATCCTGCTGCTGAGGAAGTCCACCAGCTTCTCCTTGGAGCCGTAGTCAGTCAGGGAGAACTCCACCTTCACGGGCGGCACGCTGGCGTTCCCCACGGAAGCATAGGGTGCATGCTGCACAACGGCCACTCTGGCAAAGTGATGGGAGGCCTTGGGGTCGGGGCTCACATCCAGCTGTCTGATCAGGTACCCTATGTACTTCTTCATCTCACTGAACTGGAACACAGTCGTGGTCTCGGCACTGTCTAAGATGAAAGCCATGTCGATGTCCACATCGCTGCCCGCAGCTCGCCGGTCCCTGAAGGCGGGCCTCCAGCTGCCAAACCCACAGGACGGGTCGATGTTGCAGATATCTAGAAAGAAGCACGGTAGCCTGTTTATACCATGACTCCTGCAGCAGGACGTGGCACAGCAATCGGCCGGGAGCCTGGGGGTCATCAAAACTGTCACAGAACCCGGAAACCTACTTATATCCTGCTGACATTATTGTAGCCAGGTTTCCATTTTCATCACCTAACACTTACTAAACAAATCAGTAGGCAAAATTCTTGTTAGTATACTGTGGCATAGGCTTTAGAAAGGGGAGGAGGGAAGGGGTTTGGGAGGGAAGGCAAGGAAAGAAAAGCCACCTTACTTATTGGCCACTCTTTGAAGAAATGTGTTCTAGAAAGTCTCAAAGGCAGATCATTAAAATCTGGACTCCAATATTAAAATGTAAGCAGAGCCACTTTCTCCTTTATCACCTATAAAACTTGTCCTTCTCTATCTGATACAAGCTCTGTTTGGGGGGGTGTCACTTTAAGTATGGAAACTGCTTACGTAGCGTTCACACTGGTAAATACCAGCTTTATGAATCTTCACTTAACGGAAGCCCTCTAAGCAGATGATGATTATTCACTCAAATGTCCCCCCATGGACAGTATGTCATGCAGCAGCAGCTGGACAGATGCCCGCTGGGGAAACACCTTACCCAAGCAAATATGACAAGTCAGGACGTTCTTCAGGAAGTCCGTGAGGTCTCTTCTGGCGGGCAGCACAAGCGCGTGCCCCACTGCTGTGTTATTGATCTGGTTCAAACAAAAGGAAATGCTCGATAGGAGTCATAAGTAACTACTTGAAAATACCGCTGACGAGTGAGCTAAGGTAACATCAGTAAAATAAGTTTCCCAATAGATCAATATCTTCTTTCTCTTTTTTTTTCTTTCTTTTTGTAGAGGGAAGGTTAGGAGACACTGAGTTTAATAGGAAAATAGAGGTTTTCTTCTGCTGAAATGAGCAGATGTTCAAATCCCACCCCTGTATTTTCTTCTGGACCCAAAGCCGTTTACCATGGTAATCATGGTAAATTGCCAATGGAGTTATTTGAAAGGTTAAATTAGATGACATATGTCAAGGGCCTAGTATAGCAAATAGTGGGGCCTTAAATGAGGTCGTCATTCTCAGCACTAATAATAGCAAGTAGCAAATGACAAAGCCAGTAACGAATCATTTCTGCAAGATTCACATAGTCCTGCCCATCACGGCACCGGGCACACCATCACTAATTATTCATTTAAGGAAAAATTAAATTGCATTAATGAATGACTAATTAACTTTTCAAACTTGCTGAAACTATGCTGTTGAGAACCCTGTGTGGCTCTGGGTCACTCGGCTCACATAGGGGAGATGTCGGTGAATGCGCCCCTTACAAGAGCACACGGCTGGCAGTCCAAGCCCAGTGCTCTGTGCTCTCAGTGGCTTTGGGTTTGGCAGAACAAACCCCAAGAGACGGCAGCAAAAACCCAACCGTCTCTCGCTGACATAGGCAGCGGGCAAGCCATAAAATATCCAGTTCGGAAAGAAAGATGTACGCCCCCATCTTACCCTCGCCTCGTCTTCTGCAGGTGAGAAATCAGACACACAAAGGTTAAGTGACATGACCATGTTCCTTTAAGAGGCTTAAAGGTAGAAAGTGGGTGGCCTGGAACTAGAGCCAAGGCCTCCCTGCTCGTCCCCTCGATGGCCGTCATCCACCTCTCTTGAACAGTAACCCAGAATGCACACTGAGTAAATTTTAACGGACTACTTACAAGTAAACAAGTTATTTAAGCGAAAGACAAGGGGGCGCGTGGCTACATGACGGGCTGCCCCTTGGATGCCAGCCTGACTGAAGAAAGGTTTGAAGACTGGTGCCCACTGGGGTGCTGGAGTCACCAATGTTTGGGGACCTCACTAGGAGATGGCAGGCCTCCCAGGTCAGCCCTGGGAGGTGTCCTCCGACATGTGACGAAGGACCCAATCTAGTGCTGGGGCCAGGGGCTGTCTTGGAAATCTCACTACTGAAGTTCTCAGTCAGACCAGCCTCCTCCAGGATCTTCGAGAAACTATGGGGCATGGATACATCCAGGAGGGCCTGGACGTGCCTGAGAACCTTCTCAGAGCCTAACAAGAGCAGGTGATGTCACCAAGGCACACAGGGCACAGACCTGCAGAGCGTTGGCGAGCTGCCGGTCCTCCTGGTTCGTGAGGAACAAGGGCGTGATCCCAGCATCCGACAGCTTCAGCACAGCCTCCCTGAGCTGTGGGGATGCCCTCGTGGGTTTATTGCTGAAGAAAACGGCCACCTTCCTCATCAGGAATCCGTTCCTCACTCGCTTGAACGTGTTTCTGGCCACAAAGGACATGGCGGTTTCCAGGCTCTGCTGCTTGGATGTCAGAGACACCTGAAGGTTCTTGATGCTGTCCAGGAGGGCGGACTTCTTCTTGGAGTCGGCGAACCGAATCTCCGTGGTCACCTCATTGTTGTAGGTGACCACGGCCACGCGGGCCCCCCGTGGGCAGTTGCTCTCAGCAATGGTCAAGTCGCCCACAATCTTCAAGAGCACATCCCTCATCCGGCCAAACGCGTCTGAGGTGACCCCCTCAGAGGTGTCTAAAGCAAAGGCCAGTTCTGTCGGGAAGACGGGGCATTCCAGGGGCCCTGCGGGAAGTGGGGGATTTTCAAAGACACACTTTACTTACTGGAAAAGGGGTCTGCCTCTTTCCTCAGAAGAAGTCAAACTACTGAGATTAACTTACCGTAGCAGCAAGCTGTAAAGAAAACAAAGAGGGGAGTGAAAGACATGTCTACCGGGTGAGAATTTCAAATGTGCAAATAAAAATGCAACACAGACAGCAGGAAATCGTGTACTTACGACATTTATCTTTGATGCTCTGGACAAGGGCACATTGCTTTAAAAGGAAAGGAAAGCAGGTGTAAGGAGAGCAGACAAAAAGGCTTACAGGACAATGATTTACGCAGCCCACAAGCAACTTACATCGATCGAGTCGCCTCTGTTACCTTTGGAACCCTGTAAAACAAAAGGAGGAGAGGCTAACGTGAGACGTGGAACGTGAGGAACGGTCCCTGACCACAGAAACATGACAGAGGAAGCAGAGATGGGCGTTAGCCAACCTTGATCACTTCAGGCTCTCCCTGTAAATTTGATTTTACTGCTCAAAGAGCAAAAAAGACTTTGAGGACAAAATTGTTTCACCTGTGAGGTAAACAGCTCCATACCCTGAAAACCTGGAAGCTCATTACAAAGCCACGTAAACCATATATCTGCACATGAGCCCAAACACCACTTCTTCAGAGAAAGGGAAGAACACCCTTTCACCTGCTACCTTAGGTCATCCTGTTCACAGGAGGACAGTGGGGAGTCACTTAGCTGCCTGTCAGCTCCAGGTCTAAAGCATGCTGGCCGACTGCTCCAGGGAAGACCCTCCACCACTCTCGGCATCTCACTACGATATGTGTCCACCCTGATGGTCAGGCAGTCACCTGCGGGCGTCTTTCCATGAGGCTGTTTCTGCCCACTTGCCTCCCACGGTACCTGGTGAATCGATCTCCCATTAAAGGGCTTCATTCATTTAAACCCCTGACTCGGCCTTCTTCTCCCGGGCCCAACCAGTCTAATCCCTTAAGCTTTTCTTCTAGGAGTGATCTTCCATGTCCTGAGTTACCTTTTTCATTCTCCTTTGAACCTCATCAATTTCAATGTAGGAAGATAGTAGAGGGAGAAATTCAAATAAGGAAACAAAGGTGTGAGTAACGAAGAGACTTTATGGAGGGCTGCAGAGGGGCACCCTCCTGGCTCCAGGTGGCAGGAAAATGACTAAACCATGAATCAGCAGCTCCCTTGGGGGCTGTAGACCAAAGAAAGTATTCCCCAAACTGAGGTCTGACATAGTTACACTCCTTCCAGAAGATGCAATCAAGAGGTATTAAAACATTTTCTCTTCTGTTTGTCCCCTACACAAGCCTCAACCAAGGAAATCACACCAGGAAATTGCAATATGCCCTAGCCTGGAGTTCCACATGAAACTTGTCTTAAAACTTTCTTGTCACTCTAAAGCTCAAAAGCTCTTTGTTCCATTGGAGTATCAGAAGGGAAGTGGTTTAGAAAACAAAAATAAAAATAGTAACAACAAAAATGGTGCATGCCTCTTTGTGAGGAAAGGAGACAGTGGCAAGTTTTCAGGGACCATGTGAAGGCTGTCACCCAGCCCCCCGGTGCTGGATCGGAACTGGGTAGGTACTTACGGATGGTCCTGGGTACCCAAGGTCTCCCTTCTGTCCGACTGTGCCTGGAGGTCCTGAATTTCCCTAGGATGGGGCAGAACAAGGACAGGTCAATTGTGGCAGAAGAAGGAAAATCCTCAACTCCTGCAGTTGGAAAGGGTGATGAAGGCGATCTGAGCCCATGGCCCCCGTCACCACCAGAAATCTCCACTGTCAGGGAACTTATGTGTTCAAAATTCAAGTTTAGGGACAAGCGGCCTTAACGAAACTAAAGTGCGTCTCCCCCCAGCTATGTTCTCTGGCAGGTTCAGGTAAGAGAGCTTGCCGGAGGGCCACTGATAAGACTATCCATGGATGCACAAGAAACCTGTAGCTGACATGTAATTAGATCACTGTTTGGTCTAGAAAACTAATCCAAGTTTTAAAACCCCATCTTGAATAGTAAACGACTTAGTTTGACCATCTTCATGAAGCAAATAACAGGATCATTACTATGATTTTAACTACATTTTAAGCTAAAAATAACTGTTGGGAACTTTTACCCATATCTAGACCCCAGCTTGCTAACTGAAGACTCAGTGCAGTCTTAAAAGGACGAGGAAACAGCCACCAATGAAGACAGCCCTCCAGAGCCAACGTCAGCTTGAGGAAGAAGACGAGTCTCTTCATGGCGGGAGGAAAGGAGCGCGCGGTCTGAGCCTGGCTCACCCCTGAGCCAGGGAACCTTGGAAGCACTTCCTGCGCCTCATGAAATCCTGTTGCCTCCCCATCTGGCGGGCAAGACCAGAGGTGACCACATAAGACGTCACCATCGCTCCTTCTGAGATCTGCGTCCCTGTGGTGCCATGCTGGGAGTGGGCCATGGGCTGGTAACCCTTGAGACGTGTTAGAGAAAGGGGCTCCCGGGGCTTCCTCTAAGGGGGGCATGGCAGAAGGACAACACAGACGCGACCACAGGGAGTCCTGAGGACCCTGACCTCCGGCTTAGGCTTCCTTTGCTCACACCCCATGCTGTCATGGCCCAGTGGCAGGTGAGGAGGACAGGGCTCAGAGACGCGGTGGAGGAGTCCGTGTTCAATCGCCTACCACGCACACTCCCGTTCCCACCGGCAGCCACGGTGACGGCAGACTTACCCTTCGACCTCTGCTGCCTTTGGGTCCTGGAGCTCCCCCTGTTCCTGGCTCACCGGGGGCTCCCTGGGAAGAAAGCCAGGAAGAAGCACCATGAGGTTCTGGCACGGAAGGTCTTGCTGAGGGTCCCTGGGGCATCTGCTCCCACTTCTCAGGGCAGCCAAATGGCCAACTCTGATTTCCTTTTCCACTCGGTTACTTGTGCATTTGTGTCTTTTGCAGACCCAGCCTTAGCTTACTGAACCCATAATGATAATATATAATTATAGCATTTTAAGGTTTACAGAGTATTTTGCTGTAGTGTCATTTCATTTAACGTTCACAAGCACCATGACAAGCACCATGCGTACTGTCATTTCCATTTGACAGATGAGGGAGTATCATGGAGAGGACGGGGCCTTTCCCGAGTCACTTGGTTCGCAAGTGGATGACCCAAACTAGAACTGAGATATTCTGATTCGCAGCCCATGGCCACGTCGTTTCCTCCTAAAACAATGGTGATCTTTTTACCACTAAGGGAACATTTACCTTTGGACCAGGGTATCCAGGAAATCCTCTTTCTCCCTATAAAAGACACATAAATGACTCAATATTTGGTCTCAATTTAAATTCATCGAAAATAAATTATTGAGCAGAAAAAATATATCCATAGAGTCATCAAGAAGAAAAATTGACTATATTCCAAGAACCTTTTCAGAAACGATTCTTTAAAAAATGCCTGTCAGAAGTACGTACTTTTTTGCCCTTGCGTCCTTCACTGCCAAATCCGTCTCGCCCGTCATCTCCCTAATTGTGGAGAAATAGCATTACTGCAGGCCACCATGCTAGGCACACCACAGCCACCTCCGTCTAGAGCCCTAAGCAGAAGATGCTTGAGTCCCTGAAATTTTCCCGGATGGAGGTACAGATCGAGGACCTGTTCCTACTCTTATCCCGCCCTCCAGGTATATAAACAAGACCATGGCTGTAAGTGGGAGGGGGGGGAGGGCTTAAGGGACTCCTTTGGCAAAATGGTGCTGGTGGACTACCAATGGAAAGATGTCCTCATAGCTACTGGTAAAGGTACTGCTTGGATGTGGAATCAGAGACTCATCAAACCTAGGAATCTTAGAGTTGAAAGGACTCGTGAAGGTCACCTTGACTCTATGCATCTATGCATCTTTGATCCTACTTCAAAGCAAGAACACAGGACTCAACCTCTCATATCTTCCTGAGTCCTCTGTGCTCAGGCCTTCTCCCCTCTCCCCCATGCCCCTCCCCTTCCCTCCAGTTCATGCCACAAGACTGCCATCTTTCCATCCTTCCAAACACCCGCTCTGGGGATGCTCAGATCTGTCCCCATCACTCTCTCAAGAGTAGCTTTCGGAAATGGACACAATTAATTATTTCAAAAGAATCAGAAGAATGTATGTAAACTACACTTTAATATCCCTAAAACATACATGGAACATGCTACTTAGTTAATTTACAGTTTTAAATGGACACCAACAGCTAAACAGTTATTGCTCCCAAATTTATGAATCAGGAAGAGTTTTCCCACTATGCTGTGAATAGATTTTAAATTCTGATTTTTCCTCCCTCTGCTTCTAAGACTGAGAGTAACAGAAATGGATTTTTTTAAACTTCAATTAGCTGTAGAGAAGATAAACACACAAGATAAATATTTTATCTTTTTTTTTTTTAAAAAAAAAAGCTTTGGGGTTATAAGTCAGATCAACAAGGTCCATTTATAGAGTTTTTAGGTATACTGACTCATTTTAGAAAAATTCCCAATGTGCTGTAGATTTCTTTCTCCTGTATGGAAATGTATCCTAGAAAATTATTGTTGGTGAGCAGTTATATTATTTTAAATAACACTTTTTGAAATGAGTTATCAAGGTAATAATTTCTATTCTTAGAATGTCTCATTCAAAGAAAACTGTTCCGGGCCGGCCGAGTGGCGCGATGGTTAAGAGCTGGCTTGGGACGTCAGAGGACCCCGGTTCGGATCCCACATATGAGGGCCAGTGACACTGCCCTCTAAAAAAAAAAAAAAAAAAAAAAAACCAAAGAAAACTGTTCCAATCTGGATTGAGGCTTTATCAAACCCAATTCTATTTTAGCCCAAGGATGTTTTGTTTTGTTTTGTCTTTTGTTTTTGCAGAAAAGCTCCAACTAGTCGTGCTCACAAAGCATTTGCAGGACCGGAAATGAACGTGGTTTAAGCTTCAATAAGCCACCACGTTCACATACCCGGAAAAATACAGGAGAATAATGTCTTTACCCACCCCACCCCCACCTCACTGAAACAGAACTTATTTTGAAGTTAATTGCTTACTATAGGCAGCAGGTTTCACCATTTTCAATCACACCCCCAATGATACAAGAAGTATCAAGTCACCTGTATTTGTAACGAACCCAATTTGCAACGACACAGGCTAGACCAGCACAAGGCCCCATCTCCCTGCTTCCTGATCCTTGCAGGAAAGAGTAAGCAACAATCTTCTTTGATCTTACCGTCTCCCCACGGGGCCCCAGGGTCCCGATTCCTCCATTAGGTCCTGGATCTCCAGACTCGCCCTACACACGAGAAACAAAGCTGAGACACCTGAGGGTCTGGGATGGATTTGAAATGCGATTCCAAGCCCTGTTTCATTCTAGGTGATGCCACTGGTAGGGCCACTGCCAGCTGCTAACTTTGCCTTTTAAATTTTGATACAAATGGTTTTTTTGAATTGCAATGTTCCTGAGTGGACTCTGTAAAGAATCCAAAAAGGTTGGTGTTTGATTTTTTTTCATTAACATGGCATGGGGACATGCTGACGGGAAAAGAGAGACAAAGAGGAACAGGGAAAGAAGATGTCACAAGAGTCGGTGGACACTGAATTCAGCAGGAAATACAACCCCACCAACAGGAGGCATGGAGACAAGTTTGGATTCACAGGAACACATTTCTTGTATGGAGAAAATGCTGCCCTTTCAGATGGGTTATGATAAGTTGTGTTTTTTCCCAAGGCTTATAGGTGCAGGTTCTCAGACAGCCATCACATAACAAGCTGCTGGCATCCAGAACAACCATCCGGGGCTCTTGGACTAATAAACGTGGCTGGCACAGCTGCTGGCTGCACTGCCAGCATTTCAGGGTGTGTGCTCAGCACAGTATGGATGCTCTAAGTGCTACCAATTTGCTCTGATGGCTCTGAGGATGCTGCACTGTCGTCACATGCCGTGGCACGAGCAGATAATCCACGGCTGCCAGCGGGTTTGTTCTGGTGACAAGAAAGTCAACCCAGTGAGCACAAGTTGTGGTGGGGACAGGGATCATAATGGCCAAGGCAGCTACCAACAGGGCAGGATGGGGTGGGAGAGACCAGAGGTGAGGAGAAAGGATGTGCAAACTGAGCAGGTGGTGGGCTGACAAATGAGGGAGAGGCCACATAAGGCCTGGCCAGTCCTGACCTCAGGAAACGAGCTCAGCCTTCATCGAAACAAACCTTTCTTCCCAGGGGCCCGATCCTGCCACGTTCTCCGGGAGTACCTGGGGGCCCTCCACTTCCCTGGAAGGGGAAGAGAGGAGTGTCTGAGCAACGCTCGCCCTGCCAGCCCAAGTGTCTGCGTCCCACCCTCCCCCACACACCCGCAGGTCAGAGCCACACTCAGCGCCAGGCACGGTGCTGGAGACCCAAATGCAAACATGCATGGACGCAGCATGTGCAAATCCAAAATATCAGTATGACCGCTCGGGCCATTTTTTGCGGAAGTCCACCCATTGCAAGTTTCAATGTGCGTATAGATTCGACATCCCTGACTACAGCGCAGAGTATGCACAGCTTGGCTCCTACTCGCTCCCCACATCTCCACAGTGACACGGGACTGGACAGGTGTGGACACCTGTGTGCACTTATCCCGAGTGAGTGGCTGAATCAGTGTCCTGCCATGCGAGCCTTCACCCAGAGCCCAGGAGCTGCCCTCACAAAAGGCCAAGGCCGGTGGGACCAGCTTTCTGTGACTGCTGACTACTAAGAGCTTTGGCTCACCCTTATTCTGTCTTCAATTCTTAACTAATCAGAGCTGAAATAAATGTTGAAGAAAAAAGATACAGCTTTTAAAATAGGTATTTATCAGATTTGAAACTCAGGAAGGATTTTTCTAAGCAAACAACTCTCACCAAGTTCCTGCCTCCACAACAAAACATGTTTGTGCCTTTAGGTAGTTCATGACCAGGTTTTAGTCATCGCTAAAAAGTCATAGCATGGCTCCCTGAATGTCCGTCATGCAGGAGGAACAGCCGGTATGGAGACCCAGGTGCCTGGTCCCGGCTCGGTTGGTACAGCACGTCTGCTGGTCGTCACTGACAGCCAGGACAGACACGGAAGTTTGCAGTGACAGCAAGTTTAAGGGACATCTTCTGTGTCACAGTTGAGGATGGGGACCTCCTTAAATAAAAATATCGAGCCACAGAGCCAAACTCCAGGGGCCAAATATGAAACAGTTTGGCACAATCTGAGGCTTTCAGTAGACTTTGCTCGATTGTCAGCAGTTCCATCCTATGACCTCTGAGATGAGGCGACCCATGCTTTCACTGACGCCCCAGCTGGCCCACATCAGAAGGGGCACCCCCTGGGCCCTGAGAGCCCCTGGCGCACCAAGAGCAAGGGCCCTTCCTTCCACAGGTAAACCAGCCCATCTCGGTGAAGGCTGAGGCTGACCCAGGGTTGGTGCTGCCAAAGACTCAGGCTACGGGGATGGTCTGTCCTCAGTCTTTGCAGGTACCGTGCTAAACACTGAGCAAAACAGGGTGGGACCGTCACCAACTCACCCGAGTTCCTGGGATGCCTTGTTCACCAATCAGGCCTGGAGGACCAGTGGGACCAGGTGGGCCCTGCAGAAGTAAAAGGCCAGTGTAAGCACTGTGTCCAGGTGACACTCCATGGAAGCTCAGGATGGCACCTGCATTTCCATGGAGCCCAGAGCCTCGCTTCTGCTGGCCGAAAAGGCCAAGAGAGACCACGCTGCTATCTCAGTGGTAGGGACAGCAGCCCCAGCCCAGAAGGTGAGTGGCAAAGTTGATTTAAAAAAACACAAGGAACTAGTGTTCAAATAAAAACTTCACACGAAAGTTCGCTGTGGCACTAGTCCTAATCCCCGAAAGGTAGAAAGAGCCTAAGTGTCCATCAACCGGTGCATCCATCAATAAACTGTGGTCCATCCATCCAGTGAGATACTGCTCAGCCATAGAAAGGAACAAAGCACCGAGACACGCTTCAACATGGTAAACCTCAAAAACATGACGCCGAGTCAAAGAAGCCAGACAACAAAGGCCACCTCTTAAATGAGTCCATTTATATGAAATGTCCGAATAGGCAAATCCATAAAGGCCAAAAGGAAATTAGTGTTGCCAGGAGCTGGGGGGAAGGGAGTGAGAAGTGACCCCCTCGTGGGTACATGGTCTCCTTCAGGGATGATGAGATGTTCTGAAACTAGCTAGAGGTGATGGTCGTACAACCCTGTGAACGTGCTAAATGTCACTGAGTCGTTCACTTTACAATGATTAATTTTGTGTTCAGTTTTGTAAACTTGACTGTCACCTCAATTTAAGGAAAACGCTATAGAGCATCTGAGGAACTATCACAAGGCACACGGTCTCACGGGGGTACTGACCTGTCCTCCTCTGGTCCCCTGCTCTCCCACAGAGCCCGGCTGGCCTGGACCACCCTTGTTGCCCTTTGAAAGAAGAGAGAGAAGATGCAGGGAGAGGTCAGGATGGTTTATACCGATGTCAGCTCTCTTCCACAACCATGCGTGGGCGAGGGGACAGGGCAACAATCCCCTCTCTACGAGGGCATCCGAAGCCATCGACCTGATAACCCCAGGGTGAGGCATTTAAGAAGTGGAGCCAAGATTGCATTCCTACAATTGGTTCTCACTCTTGCCCCACTTTCTTTCAAGATGGCTTTGTGACATAAGATTTTTTTTTTTTTTAGACCCAAACCTGTCTTGCCCAGGTGAGAAGGCTGAAACACTAAGCTGTTGTCACTTTCTAACGACCAGACAAGTGGACACACTGCAGACAAGAGACGCCCAGTGCACTGCCTCCCCATCTGTTTCCCATTTGCACCCCCATCTCCCTGTTAATCATTTGCACAAGTCTTTTAGAAGCAGCTAAATTTAAGGAGATGGGGCAAAAGGTGGTAGCTCCTGACTGAGCCATAAGCCTCCATAGAGAAGGAGTATGTTTTAACCGTCGGTGGTGTCACATCTGTGCCCTTTGAGGACAGTCCCCTGAGAGCTCACGGTGAGTTACACTGTGATGGCAGAAAAGAGGTGCCAGCTCAGACGCTTACCTTAGCTCCTGCTGGTCCCCTTCTCCCAAAGCCGCCCTGTAGAAGAAGTCACACAAACGGTGAGGGGACATGGGGACAGAGCCTGGGGGCTTGGTGCGACTTAACCCGCACGTTCATCTGGCATCCACTGTGTGCCAGAACCTGTGCCCAGTCAGCCCTGAGGAAACTCACATAAAAAGACACCCTTCTTCCCGCCCTCATCTCAGGAAAGTTTTGCTTCCACGCTGCCCCGTTAGTCACCCAAGCGGAAGTTTTGAGAATTACTTCAGACCTGCCAAGCAAAATAATGACTCCTTCTGGCTGCACGATCTCAGCCAATTTCAAATATGGAATGTGAAAAGGGAATGTCAAGCTGTCTGTTTTTCTACCATTTTCCTAACAGTAGGGAGAAGTAATGAAATACGTTCATTATAATGGAAAGGAGTCCCAAGCTCTCCGAGTCCTCCGGGCCAAGTATAACACGTCCTCAGTGAGTAAGGCTCCAAGTGCACACACGTGAACCTGAAAAGCCCAGCCGTGCTTAGTTGGGGCTCGTGACTTGGCCACATCTTCCTCCACCCTCCAGAGGAAACCCTGAGTCCAAATAAATGAGGGCTCGCTGCATCAGTGACCCATTCATTCCCACGCAGTGATCGCTTCCTCTTGAGTGGGAAGCTGTGGGATGGGAACACGTGAACATCTGGATATGTCTGTCTTTGCCGCCTTGGGAGCTGGCATTCTGCAGAGAGTCACACCAGCCGGTTCCAGGGCTCGGACCATTGCTGTATCAACCCAACAACCACATCCTGCTCTCCCAGCCGACCAGCCCAGGGGCAATACTTCGCCATTATTCACTGTAGGGCAGCTCCTTGAATGGAAGACTTTGGCTTCCTTCCATGGGCAAGTGGGGGAGGGGCGGGCTGAGTCACTCCTCCACAGAGTAACAAGCTGGCTGCGCCTTCCAAAGGGGACAGGCTGGAGTATGACCAGAGGCCACCAGCTCAATGATTCATCCCTCAGGCCAGAGGCAGCCTGTGGGGGCCCTGAAGGGGTGACGTGAGGAGTGGGGTACCCAGTGGAAGGACACATCTCATCTGGGCATGAGCCTGTCACAGCGGGGTCTTATGGAGGGAGGTGGGGCCATACTGCCAGGCCTCCCCTGCTGCCAAGGAAAGAGCTGAGTCTACAAGGGCCTTTGACTGTGTTGAATTGAAACCCAAGTGTCCACCTTGTGCATAGAATTAAAACAAACTGTACGCACGACTATACTGTAAGTCACTTCCTGAAAACAAGCTGAGTGGCAGAGCACACTGTAATAATTGAGTCCTTCCTCACTGCTTTGTTATCACACAGCTCGGCAGCATAGTTAAAAAATAATACTCAGAACCTTAAAGATAGCATTTTCAAATATTAACTCTTCTTCTGAATTTTACAGGCAAAATTATGCCCACAGCGTATCCTGATTAAGGATGAGAGTCGTTTCTTTTAAATACCCTCATGTCAGCATACCCCCTCCCACCGTCCAGCTGCTGATCCCTTGGCATGTACGTCAGTGCCCCTGGGGAAATGCCTGAGCATGCCCCGTTCTTGGCTGCACAGCCCCAGCCAGTTTCTGAGCTGAGACCTGACCTGGGCACCCACCAGCTTTCTGAACTGCCCCAGAGGATTTACAAGTTCCAGACCACTTCTCCCCATGCACGGACCGTCTTCCCAACTCTGGGTGCCCCTGGGCCCTGGAAGCTTTCAAACGGCTTCCTGGAGATCATTTCTATTGCTTTGGCTTTACAACTCTTCATCAAGGCTCAAAGATGAGGCATGCCAGACTCAAAAACTGAGCTGTTCTGCAGCTGACATTTCTTGAAAAAGCAGTGGCAAGGTGCAGTTCCCCAGAAAACGGAAACCTGGTTTCATTACTTGCGTTACAGCAGCGCACACACACAAAAATTATAAAACCAACAATTCCCTCACTCCCTCACTCCCCACCCCCCCGGTTCATGGTTTCGTTTGGATTTTTTAAGTATTTAGTGGGATAAAACCTGGCCAAATATTTGAAAGCAGCAAAGATATTACATCAGTGTATTTTGGGAAAAGAAGGACGCAGGCCTGGGAGAAGGAAAAGAGGAGCAGCACAGAGCAAGCAAGAAGAAAGAGACTTCTCTAAGCAGCAGATTTGGGTGACAGTGGTTTCAGAAATTCCTTTAGATTCCCTCATAAAAAGTTGCTCGTAACTTTGCCCCAGCAGTATTTGGTGACTCAGGTGGCACTTGCTAATATCACAGCAGAGCTCCCCAAAGCCCTAAGAAGCACTCACGCTCTCCCCAGGTTCTCCAGGCCTTCCAGGCGCCCCATCTCTCCCAGGGAGACCCTGGTATAGGGAAAAAAAATGACATGAGATTCTCATCTGCGGAGAAGACCGTCTAACTCGGCAATATTGCACAAGACGCTACAGGAAGAGGGATCGAGACACACAGGAGGGCGGACATTTGTCGGGTACATCAGATGAGGTGCATTCCTACCTCCACAGCCTCTGGCTTGACAAACACTTTTCATGAATATCTAAGGGGCACCAGGTCTGCAGAGAAGAAGCCCCTCTTGGAAGGGTTGCTTTCATTCCCCAGTGGAGTCTCCTTTCATGGGGACACACCATTGGCTTCAAGGGGGCAGGACCCTCTGTTCCTGACCTCTGATGTCCACAGCCTTAAAGATCACCACTTCCATGGCCTCTGTGGCTGGGGACAAGCCAGCGTGGGCTTTGTCTCTGGGCCTCAGCACAGGCTGTCTAGGAATGGGGAGTGTCATACCATGGGCCCAATGTCTCCCGTCTCTCCTTTGGGTCCTCTCTGCTGGTTGTCCCGTCCTGGTTCACCCTGAAAACAACACAGGTCAGGAATATGAGTCATGTGTGCAAGAAAAAGACACTTTAAATTGGCTTTAGCAAAAGAGAAGCATTTGCAGCTGTTCTTATCTATCGCTCTAGAAAACCTGTAAGCAGACGACCGTCACCGGGCCAGCCCCCTGTCCTCCAGGCCAGGACAAGGCAAGAGTGAGCCTGAGACAACATCCTCCCTGGGGAGGAAGGCCTATCACCCCCATGTTTGGGGCTAAGAAGATTGGCCAACCCCAGGGTCAAGTCCAGTAAGAGTGCGATGGACGTTCTCTGACGGGATGTGGCTGAAGAGACTGGCCCTCAGAACCTTGCATTCGCATCATCACTAATATTTTTATGACCACCCAGTCCAGCTGGATTAAAGTGTCCTGAGACCACATTTTTGGGAAAGCTCTCAGATCTTTGTATGACAGGCCTTGCAAACACTTCCAATCTTTGCAGTGTATCTTTATGGCTGGGGAGCGAACACATCTCCAGCAACCCCAAAATTGTAGGAAAAGGACAAACCACATATTTATCAACATGTTTTAAAGCAATTTCAAGGGTAAAGTTCTTCCTTTCCGCCCTCTTCTCCCACAATCCTCCTCCCTAGGTCTCAAGCTCTCGGCAAGGGGTCCTCCTTACCGGGTCGCCTCGAATTCCAGCATCTCCCCTTTCTCCTTTGCGTCCATTAGGGCCTTTATCACCCTACATAAAAAACACCAGCAGGGACTAGGAATTAGAAAGGATTTCAAATTTTTACCTCACCTTCAAAATCACATTCTTTAGTTCATAAATCTTAAACAGACCAACGTTAACCATGTATTTACTCATTTGCCATGAAGGTAACATCACTTCCAAATATTGCTGATTCGTTCAGGTAATCCACAAATACTTACTGGGGACCCACGGTGTGCAGACACTGGGGTTTATTTATAACAAAAAAAACTCAGTCTCTGCCCTATGGGACATAGTCTCCAATCAAGACAATATAATAACATGTGTCACAGCTACCAGGGTCATAGGGACGAGGTCAGGGAAGGCTGCTTGGAGGCGGTGGTCTTCACATACACGTAAAAGAAATAGCGCCCGAGTGAAATGTTTATAGTGTTTTCGTAACAGCAACACGATGGAGATACACGTACCCTCCTCCCGGGATTCCCTTTCTCTCCGGAAGAACCAGGCAATCCTTTGTTTCCCTGCCGAAGACAATGAAAACATGTCATTCCTGACACAACGTCTACCATAGACTGAAGTACTAGTCATGGACTCTTTGGGGCCAAAAGCATTTTGAACTGAGAGCCTGAAATCACTTACATCTTCACCATTAAGACCATCCAGTCCGATCTCCCCTAGTTCACCCTGTGAGGGGACAAGACACACAGGTGAGCATAGAACCCATCCTGGCCAAGGAGAAACAAGAGACACTGGGCAAGTTCTCAATGTAAAAAAGAAAAACAAGTTTGAGTACCTTCTCTCCTGGGAATCCACGAGAGCCCTAGAAGGTGAGAGAAAGAGACGTCAGCTCCTTCCTGGAGGCGGGTCCCTCAGCCACAGCGCAGGGCTCCTCACCCCGACTCGAAGGCCACAGGGTCTGGACAGTCTGCTGGACTGCCCTCTCACCAGCACGTGGGAGACCAGCAAGCTCATTTGCCTGGACCTGAGCACTCAGGTGGCCTTGGCTCCCTGGGCAGGAGGGCTGAGCCCGGACAGCCAGGGACAGGAGCTGCAATGCCCCTTTGCAACTTGGTGGTATGGGGGCCCTTCCCTTCAGCACCTGCTTTCAAACTTCAGCAAATCAGCTCTCGAATCCAAGTATCTCACACAAAGAACTTTCCAACACGTACAGTCCTCTCTCTTGCCTCCCTCTGCTTCCCCGGCTCCTCTCAGGGTCCAGCGGCTGAAACCACGGCCACTGGCCTTCCCTCCGCCCTGGCCCACGTCCTGTCTGTCCTCCTGAATGTTTCCTGGCAGCTTCTTGTTTCCATAGGAAACTATGTCTCCGTTCTCAGGCTCCCTTCCCAGGGCGACCTGTGCTCCGGAAGCTGCCAGCCTGTGGGCTGCCGTCCCACCAGAGGGCACGGGCTGCTGGACGCTGACAGCAGAGAAGGCCTGGCAGTCTTCCTCCCCTCGGAGGCACCTGGAGAAGGTGCCCCACTTCGCGCGTGCCACTGACCACCTTCTCCCCGCCGGGCCGGGTGCTGCGGTCCCCTCCCCACACTGGGGGAGGTCCCCCACACTGTACCTTTACTCCTCTCTGGCCAGGGCAGCCCTGGAAACCTTGAGTGCCGTTCACGCCAGGCGGACCCCGTTCACCCTGTCAGGAGAGATGAAGGCAGTTTGTAAGTTGGAGCCGCTTGTCACTGTGTCTCCACTAAGTGCATCGCTAAGGAAGGCGTGTGTGAGAAAGCACATTTTACTGGCAGGAATGCTGACTGAGTTGGGCGGAGCTTCCAGCATCCCTGCCCCCCAGGCCAGTGCACCGCACCCCGGGAGGGTCTGCAGCACCTCCTGGGGGACGAGGTGAGCGGGCCTCTGGGCACCGAGTCTGGTGGGAGCTCGGCCCCCATGAGGAATCCACAGGTGGACTGCTCCTCTGCGTGGCCCCTGGCTCCCAACTCTCTGATGTAGTCTGTGCCCAGCGCTGACACGCAGACCTGCCGGCTGGGACCCTGTGACCTCACCTGCTCCCATCCCAGGGCTAGACCTCCTTCTCGTGTCTCTCAGGCCATGTCTGTCCCAAGTACTGCTTCCCAAAGGCTCTATTCACCCCCAGATGGGTCCCGGGGTTTACTGATCACCCAAACCAACAAGCCTTCCCTGGGAGACCTCCCTAAAGGGTGTAACCCTGATTGCAGCTTGACTTGGTCCCCTGCTCCCCGTTCTGGCTCGCCGCCATCTCTGCTTGGGCTCTGATCTTAGTGGACACTGAATTTGCCATCAGTCTCAGAAGCCACTTCATCCCTCCCTCTCAAGAAGCAAGAGCCCTGCGCCCGGTGACCACACTGTGGTCAGGTCACCAGGCTGCTTCCCATCACGTACAAACCTGAGTTAAGACATTAAGGAAGTTAAAAATGAATTTTTTCCCAGTAGGAAAGTCACTGGACTGTTCACTGGACTGGAAACTGAACAGATTTTGAACTCCACAATTCAATCCCAACACGTGAGGAACAAGGAAGAAATAAAAATTTAAGGAATAAAACAACGTCACTTACGGGTCCACCCTCATCACCAGGATAACCTCGGTAGCCATCTTCTCCAGGGATACCCTACAACAAAGGAAATCCATTCCTGGGTTAAATCCGCGCATTTGGGGTGGGCAGGTCTATATTTAAGCATCTCCCCAATCCTCCTCCATGTGGTAGACCGGTGCTAAGAGTTATGAGGACATTGGGTGTCCCTTTAAACTTCATGGTTCTCCACTCATGATTTCAGTGCCATTTTCCTTTCTTTCAGGATCTTTAAGGCTCCTGGTCTATCAGGAAACCCTGTCACTCAGAGACAGCACTAGGAGTCCCCGTTGACCATGCGCAGGGAGGCTGCCGGCCAGTGATGCCCGCTAGTTTCAAGGTTCTTTCATAAAGTGAAGAAACAGTGTGTTCAGGAACAGAGTCCTTCTCCCCATGCACAGGGAGAAGGCAGCCGGTATTTGGACACAAGTCTGCCCCTCAGAACGGCTGTCCTACAACCTGGGAGCACCCTTTTCCATCCCTCTCTGTCTCCATGCTGTGGCAGTAGAGACATCACCCAGCCAAGGTAATGACAGACTTCTAAACCCTCGTCTCAGGTGTAGAAAAAGGGCGGAGCCACCATACCTTCGGCCCAATGCCCCCGATGGGCCCCCGGTCACCCCTTTCTCCAGAGCATTTGCAGGGCACCCCACAGCAAGCTTTCTCGGCAATGTTGTCCTGTGAACATGAAAAACAAAAAGTTCAAGTCTCAGTAAATGCCTAGGGGAAAAAAAAGGCGTAACTATGCCGTAAAGGTTAAAATCGGAAGTGCGTGGATTCCACAGTGAGAGATGAAGTCACTCACGTGTGGCATTCGCTCACAGGCTGGCTGGGTGGCTTAGCAGCCACAGGGGTGTAGGGGAGTCACAGATGGGCTACTGAAGAGCAACCAAAGTAAGATAAATCTTATTCGCAATGCCACCTCAGGCTGGGCCTTATTTCTAGAAGTTTCCAACATAGATATTCAAGTTTCAGATGTTACGCATAACTTACGTAGTTTTAAGCCCCAAAGAGCAAAACCTAACAAACAAACTGCAGAGGGTCAGGGCAGAAGGCGTTTCCAAAATGGAGGTCCACATGCTCTTCTCAGAACCGTGGTCAGGGTCACAGGCTATGGCACCAGCCTGGAGGAGGCCTGAGGGGAGCAGCCGTGGTGTGGGGCACACACGAGTGGTCCCTGCCTCTGAGCCACAAGTGCCACAACTCAGGGTCCCCAGGGCCTCTCAGAGCCATCATACACGTTCCCTCCCATCCCAGCCCTGGCCTTAGTTGGGAATGCATACACCCAAAATCCCTTCCTTACGCTAAACTTACGGTGGCCAAATGTGTTTTCTTGCAGCGAGCTTCCTAGAGTTTTCACTCTCTCCTACATCCCAGATTCGTCAACTAAGTCAACATCTTCCCAACCAATTTTTTAAAATCCTAATTCCAGCGTGCTGGGAAGCAGCGAAAGGGAAGGGAAGGGCAAAGCCAGGTCACCCCACAGTCCACTGTTGCCACCACCAGAGGGTCTCTGAGTTGATGAGACCACATCTCCCAAACCTCTCACGGAGGCTGAACTTGTGGGGTTTAGGGAGCCCCAGTGGGCGCCTTCATTTGCTCCAAAGGAAACTGGACGAGAAGGCATTAAAGCACTTCTCCACCCAGAAATGGTCTCTCTTCCCCTGCATAGGCTTGTTTTTGCCATGTGAGCTTTCTGATGCTATGGACACTTCCTGAACAGGATAGCCAATCTGAGCGTTCTGTCTTCTCAGCAATCTTAGCAATGAAAAGGCCTTCATTAACAGGAGCAGAGGAAATGCCAAGGTAACAGCACTAGCGCGCCTGGGCGCCCATTCTCCACCACACTGTCTTTCCAACTCTGGGACATGTCCGTTTCCAGGGCTCACACATGTCACTGCAGCAAGGCAGGTCCCAAGTGAATTAAATGGGTTCAATTACCCACCCAGAGGCCCCTCCTCCATCGCCTGGCAATAACTGATGCCATTTTCTTGAGATGCCCAAAACTGTGGTATCTGAACTGGTGTGTGTGTGTGCAGACATCAAATCTCACCAGCTGCTCTACGAGCTCATAATCCAGGTCCAGCAAGTTCAGCCTCAGCGGCCTGTTGTACGCAAATCCTCGCCCGAACTCCAGCTGGGAGAGCTGCTCCAAATTGGCTACACGTTCGAGGCCCACCAACATCAGAGCTCGGACACCTGCAGGGAGAGGCACGTTTCACAAAGTGCCGAGGCCCTGGAGACACTGGAAACACTCAACATCTTTTTGTGCCCCCCCCCTTTTTTTTTTAAAGAAACTTCAGTACAAAATTTGGCCTTTCACTAAAACATGTTCCATCAAACTTGCCAGCCACCCTGAAAAGTTGAAAGACTGGAACTTTGGACCCTCTGAGCCATTGTCTCAGATGCATCAGTAACTAAACTCATTACTATAAATACAGGAAGTGACACCAGGAAGCATATTCATACATCAATTCTCAGACTCTGCTCCCACGTGACATAAATCAGGTATGCTGCGGGATGCACTGAAATACCAAACCTCCAAAGTCAGGTAATAGCAATGTCATCGCCACTGTCCATGAAAAACAAGCTTGTAAATCACACCTTCTTATGATGAGTGATGCTTCTGCAAATTCTTCTCCAACTTCTAGCGTTGGCATCCACTTTTTGGCAGTCAGTGCTACCAAATTCCAAAGCAATGGACAACCAACTATGACAGCTGACAATGGGCATCGTGGTGTATCCAGTCACCTTGAACTTGGAAAGTGTGCTTTTGTAGTTTACTTCGTATTAAAGTGTATTTTTACTTAGCACTGTGGTATTTCTGAGCTGTGATAACCGCAAACTACAATATAGCAATATTTTTGCTTCGAAATCAACTCAGTTTATACGATGCAGCTGGATGAATCCAACCTTCACGATCTTCTGCAAAAGCATCACACTTTCTAGATGTCCTACCCCTTGGATCAGTCTTCCTGACCTGCGAGGTCTATGGCAGGACGTGATCTATGCCACATATGGAACCTTTGGTAGCCCCAGGTCCCATAGCCCCAGGCAGGCGACAGAGGACAAGACGCTGGGTAACCAGTGCTCTCCAGAGGACCCCACATGCAGGGCCTCCTCTCTCCAGCAGAGCAGTGCATCTGCCTCACCCAGGTCTACGTCTCATGTTTAGAAAGCCCCAGAACCTACCTTCTTCTCGGAGCACCTCCGATGCCCTTTGTAAATCAGCCATATCTCCATCCGCTCCATCAGTAAAATGAATGACCACCTGAAAGATGAGTCAAACCCCAGCCGAAATTAAAAAAAGAAGCATCACAGGCTCTTGGAAGGGAGATGAGCCAATTCAAACCCCCATCTTACGGTTGAGGAAACTGAGAACCAGACTTGAGAAATAAACACCCTATATCCATAGCCATTTGATATTGTGCAACAAATGAGCCAGAAAATTAGGTATTGTCGTGCTGACTTTAAAAGACACAGCAGCACCTGCTCGTATAGAAAATGCCTGTTTGCATTGGCATGTTTTATAAAATATTCATCAATTTAAGACTTGACTAGTTGAACTAATCAGATTTTTCACTTTAATGAAATAGCCATAAGAACTTCTGTAATGCTGATTTTAATTAGTATTCACTTGCTATTTCTGTACTATTGTCTACTTGAATATAAAGTTTGCATGGCTGTATTACCAAAAAAAAAATAATACTAAAAAATAAAAGACACAGCAGCAAGGAGAATGAAAACAGTTTATCTCACTTTCCTATTTATGTGATGTAGTTTCTGGAAACTGTGTGTGTGTGTGTGTGTGTGTGTGTGTGTGTGTGTGTGTGTGTTATGGACTGAACTGTGTCCCTCCAAAATTCATCTGTTGAAGTCCTAACCTCCAGTACCTCAGAATGTAACTGTATTTGGCAATAGGGACTTTAAAGAGGTGATTATGGTTAAATGTGGCCATTGGGGGGTAGTCCTAATTCCATATGACTGGTGTCCCTGTAAGAAGAGATTAGCACGCAGACACACAGAGGGAAACCTACATGGAGATGTGGGAGAAGCACCATCTACCAGCCAAGCTGAAAGGCTCAGAAGAGTCCGACCCTGCTGACACTTTGATCTCGGAGTGCCACACTCCAGGGATGTGAGAAAGCATATTTCTGTGGCTTCAGCAGCTCAGTCTGTATGGCAGCTCAAGTGAACTGATTGTGTGTGGGGGGAGGGGCAGGGGAGTGCATGTGTGCATGTGTGTGTGCATGCACACAAAATAAACATGTACGGGTATACACTCACAGAGGAAGAGAGAAATATGTATACAGGACAGAACTATTTAATGGGTACAACTATAAACATGCATTAATCACAGTTTCCACTCGTTCAAGCTTAATTACTGATTTCCAGGATTTTTTCTTTTTTTAGAGCTTAAGTGAAACAAGGAAGATACATACTACATTTCAGGCTATTATGATGGGTTGAATAAGGGGCTCCTGCGCACAGCACGGCCATCCCTCCCGACCAGCCCAAGTCTGAAATCACACCAGGAGCTGGAACCAGGGAGCCCCGCTCACCTTCACCCTGTCGGGCGAGGAGGACTGCCTGAACTTGGTCTGATAGACCTTCAGCGTGTCGGCCGTGAGGACATAGGGGTGCTGGCTCCGCATGCTCCGGAACTTCTCCAGCAGCTCGGGCTGGTACTCGGCAAAGTCGAAGGCCTCCACGGGGCCCGAGGGCGTGCTGGCTACCACGGACACCCGCACGGTGGGCATCTGGCCGCCCCCACAGCTGAGTGGCTGCATCTGGCTAATTCGATTCAAGATGGCATCCACCTTCGACTCAAGGCCTTTCTGAGCCACAAACACATTCTGATTGCTTGAACCATCAAACCCCAGAATCACGTCCAGGCTACAGGCTGGAAAGGGGGAAAGCAGGCAGTGAGTTCTACGTCAGGGCCGTGGAGAGGAGTACAAAGTACAAGCACGGCCCTGGGACCTGGACCAGGGCGTCACCTCAAAGGCAAAACGACGCCTTCTATGGATGAGCTTTGAGGAGCAGTTGGGTCTGCTTCTTTCACGGGGAAACCTCATGCTGACCATTAGGGACCCGAATTGTAGGCCATTCTACTATGTTTTCTTTTTTTCTCGTAATATTAACCAATTTTGGCATGATATACAGTTGCTGTTGAGATGCCTCCCAAGTTTGTGCTTTAAATGCACTAGAGGGCTCAAATACTCTGCTCTCATACAATTCATCTAATAAACCTATGAATAAAAGCAGGGATCACTACTTCTGAATTATTTGGGAGATTAAAGACTAGGGAGACAAGGTAAATCTTACAAAGGCAAGAAAAGACGGGCTTCCACTCTTATCCCGGAAGGATATCCGAAAGCAGTGGCTAGGTGACCACCAGGGTCCAACCCACGTGGACGTAAGTAAATGCCTGAAGTTACCAAAAGCTTCAGGAATCCATGAGCCAGTCCTAGGAGGTTGGGCTAACAAGTAACTCGTGCACATCAATGAGACAGGATTGAAAATACGTCCATGATGGGGACTTACCTCTGGAAACATCAGTCACACCTGGACATAAGGTCTCCTGCATTGCACCATCCAGAGTTTCCAAAACTTGTTCTTTCAGTTCCGACAGCTTCTGGACATTCCCCACGCGGAACGCTGTGGCACTGTTGGACGCTATCTTCCCGACCTCCACTGAGTCGGTGTTTCCCAGGCCCACTGCGAACACTTTGACACCTCTCTGGGTGAGTGCCAGGCTCGCCTCCTGGGCGTCTTCTATTGACTTCCCCCCCATGATCACAAATGCAATCTGAGGGACCCTCTGATCCAGGCGGCTGCCGGCTTCCGGCACAAAGTGGGCCCGCTGCAGATGCTCAATCCCCACCTTGGTGTTTGCATTTCTCCCCCCTTTGTAGACCACTTTGTTGATGGCGCTGATAATCTGCTGCTTGGTGGGATACTCCTTCAAGAAGAATTCATCCGTGGGGTCAGAGTTGTACTGGACCAACCCCACTTGGATGGAAGCGTCCTCTCCATAAACTGTATCCACAATTTCGGACACAAAATGGAGCACTTCCTGGAAATTGTGCCTCTGGAAATTGATGGAACCGTCCAACAAGAACACAATATCTGCTTTCCTTGTATCTAAGAATGACCAAAATGAAAATGGGGAGAAATTTGGCTTCCATATCCAGAACATTCATATACAAAATGTAAATTAAAATAATTGAAAAAAGACATTCCTGTAAATTATTCACAATGAACACCTTAGCTCTGTTTCATGCCTCTATAGTTTTCAAATTCACAGCCCTCAAAACATGATGCTAAAAACAAGACAATAAATGATAAATCATTTAAACAAAAAGAGAAGAAAGCATGAGAACTCAGTGAGACTGAGTCCCAGTTATTTCATGCAAAATGGCATTATGCTATAGATTCAATGGTCCAGGATCTCAGGTGTTTTAGGAAACACCACTAAACACTTTCCTCTGGTACAAAATAAAGGATGGTGTCTGCCAGGAGTCAGGGCAGGTGTGCTGGAGGCAGAGCAAGGAAGGTCTGGGAAAACCAGATTGGAAAATGGGAAGCAAACCCCACACGCTTTTGGAGGGGTGCCTGCCAGCACGCTGAGAGCTTTTGTGGACCCTGCTGAAAAGCATTGGCATTTGGGGGTAATATTTGGTAGTTATATGAAGTGGTCAAGACTGGAGTAGAGAAGGGCATGGATTGGCCACTTCCAAAGATGCCGTCCTAGTCCAAGAGCCAACGAGTTTGCGGTTATCCCTCAATGTACCTTTAGAGAACCTTTCAATGAAGCTACAATGAACCTCATGGAAGCTCATGGAAGCCTCAAGGAAGAATCAACGACCATATGCTTTCTGGGATATGTTTCCTTCTACAATGTCAACTGAATTTTTTTCTAGTATTTTTTTTCTAATATTATCTGCAGTAACAACCAAGAGGAGAAAATTATTCAAATGAATGCCAATTACATTTTTCAATTGAAAAAAATTGATGTTATACTCTGCAGTCATGGGTCCCACAGTTCATACCTGTCCGAGGTGGGGAAGGTGTGAACACTCCTGGCGGGGCAGGAGTGATCCTAGAGGGTCCAAAGGAGTTCAAGATCCTGTCTTCTAGGTGGGAGATGTCTCTAAACCCTCGCACCGTGTAGACCAGTCTGGGGTCATTGGTGATGGTCTGCAACTCTGATCTGTCGATGTTTTGGGCTCCAACCCCTAAACTCACAATCCCTGAGGAGCGGATCACCTGTGAAACCCTGGAAACGTCATCCTGGGATTTTCCACCCAGAAACAGAACCAGGTGCTGGGGCACCCCATCTTCTATCCGGCTCCCAGCAGACTTAACAAAGAGATTTCTTGCCACATGTTCCAGAGCTTTGCCAGTGTTCAGCGGAGAACCCCCTTTGAACCTCAGGCGATGTATGGCGTCGAGCACGGCGGCCTGGGATTTATAGGTCTTCAGGAAGAATTCAGGAAAGACATCATTGCTGAACTGCACAACCCCAATTCTCACTTTATTGGGGCCAACACTGAGTCTTCGAACAAGCTTCATGATTAAATCTCGAATGTATGCAATGCCTTCAGGCCTCACACCATCAGAGCTATCGATGAGGAAGACGATATCTGCAGCGTCACTCTCAGCAGCTGCAGATACAAGGAAAACAGGAGGAAAATGCAATATATGACTGGTGCTCATTGAGTTTTGTCTCTGCATTTGTTCCTGAACTTGGCATTGTGTTTCACCATAATATGAGCATTAAAATTATAACCTGATGCACATGTGTTTGATCTCGTGGGCTTTTTTAAATTGTTTATTTAAAAAATGGGCCTTTTTCACCCAAACACTATCCACTTCTTGAAATAGCTTAAGTTCTCCAAAACTTTCTGAGTCTACCTGATTTTAATTTTGGCTTTGTGGTCTGGGTTACAACTAATGTTCAAAATGAAAGCAGCATTTAGAAACTCATCCTGGAGACCGTAATCTACGGAACCACGAACTGTTATTACTAGAAGGGACTAAGCTCATCCAAACTGACATCTTTGTTGTACAGGAAGAGACAGACAGCTGAGGCCAACGGTCCTCCCGTCACCCACAGCCACCACTTAGCTACTGACCGCCCAGAGAGTGCCAATCAGCTCCCAAAGGGCCACTACATTCCCCCAGGTGTTTGATTCATATCTCTAGCATTTATAAAGTTTTTATTTTCACTATTACTTCTCCTATTTTCTTTATGTGAATTTATTTTTTAACCATAAAATTAATCAAAAAGTCCTAGGGAAAATGAGCCGTGTTTTCCTTAGTTAGAATTCTGGGTACTTCTTAGATGCCATTTTATTAAACTACTCATAACATGTTTTCACTCAATAAATTCAACCTGTCTTTTACATCCCTGGGCTATTCAGAGTGATTTGCTATGCTGTGCTGATTATTTTGAACTTTGCATTGTATTGCCAAAAAAAAAACAAAACAAAAAAACAGCACAGCAAAACCTGAGCAAGTCATGGAATTGAACCATTTATACGGAGAAAGAAAAGCTGTCCCAGCCAGGCTTTGGGTTCTCCTGTAGGACACAAATGATTTCAGAGAACTTCAACATCAGAGGAAGCCACACTGTGACCACGACGGATCAAGACAAAAATGAGGTTGTGCTATAATCATATGTGAACACTGACAAAAAGAAGACAAAAATAACCAGACACTCTCTATATTGGCTAATGGGAGTAAGCACTGCTTTTTTGCCAGTTACAGCATTAGCCATAAGGTTTAGTAAGACACTCAATCATAGAATTGTTTCCATCTCTTGACAACATCTGACCCTAGGCAAAGTCCCATTTCCTTAAGCCTTCCCCAGAATCACCTACCACCAGTTCAAATCCTATCAGAAGTCCTTTCTAATACCCTCTAATGGAGCTACCTCTTGGTTCATCATCCTATGCACCCGCCCTCCTTGCAACAAGCAATAGACCCAACTGGTTCAACCATAGGTGTCCCATGATTTCCATTTAACTCATCATGAATACCATGGATCTTTGAGCCTGTTACTTTTTTTATATTGAAAACACTCAAGAGAACAACAGCAACAAAAAACACTCCATCTTACCTGGAGGAGGGTAGCGAGTTCTGGACAGAATCCGCTGTATCTGTTCTGAGGTCAGGGTCGTGATGGGGGTCAGCAGTTGCTGATCCAGGCCGGGCAGCTCCCGGAAGGTGCTCACCGAGAACACGTACTCGGGGCTCAGGGAGATCTGAACCAGCTCCTTCTGGTCTGTGTGCCTTGCAATCATCAAGGGCGCCACGCCAGACTGCTTGAGCTCTACTGCTGCGTCGCCCACCTCGTCCCCTGATTTCCCAGATGAAATGAGGACCAGGAACTGAGGGACGCCCTCTTCGATCCGGCTCCCCTCTGGCCTCTTGAAGATGTTCTTTGACACGTACTCCAGGGCACCCCCGATGTTGATCTGCCTCCCGCCTTTGGGCCGCAGCCGCCTCACCGCATTCTGCACCTCATCCTTGCTGGAGTGGGCATTCAGCAGGAACTCTACAGTGACGTCGTCGCTGAACTGGACGACTGCCACCCGGGTCGTGTGAAAGTCCACGTCCAGGGAGTCGACCAGCCTCTCAATGAGGGCACGGATGTACTGAAACTCAGGGCCAGCACTTTGGGACCCATCAATGAGAAAGACCACGTCCTTCTTGCTGCCAACACCTGTGAATCACATGGCATCATGGGTTTCGCCTTCATTGGCACCCAGTTCTTAGCATTAACAAACCACCTCCTGGTTTGTCATGAAATCACCACCTGACGGACAAAGCATCCTCATTCTGACTGGCACAGTTAAAATGCTAGTCCCAGGAGTGGCTGCTGGCCTTGCAGTGATTATAAGTCAGGGGGAGAGGGAGGAACCAGCAAAGGTTAAGGAAGAGTAACTCTGAGGGAGGCAGAGACCAGACACACGAGAGCCACGTCCAGACAAACTGGGGATGGCATTTCGGGAAGGAGGGGATCTCAACTGTGACACATGCTGCTCGTAGGTCAAGCAAGATGGCGCCTGAGACCTGACCACTGGGTTTTGCCAGATGGAGGGGCCTTGACAAGAGCACTTTGTGTGACATGATGACCGTGAATGAGAGATTGGAGTGGTCTGGAGCAGAGTTATGGAGAGTATAGATAACTTTTTAAAGGAGGCTGAGGCACTACTAGGTGGGGAAGATGGGCATCGAGAGAGAGTGTTTAAGAGAGAGTGAAAGCAATGTGTTTGTATCATGAAGGGAATCACGCTTCCCATCCTCAGAGGAGAACTGACAGTGCAGGAGAGACAAGAATTGCAGATGACACCCTTGAGCAGGGGACAGGAGAGGGTGCCCCAGGGGACACAGACAGTCCACCCCAGTCACAGGAAGGAAGCTGCGTATGGACACCGACGCCAAAGACATCGTGTGCTGCTCCCGGAAGGTCTTTTCCAACTTCCTCCTGTTTTCTCAGTGAAATGGAAACCCGGGTCACCATCTCAGAGCAAGCTGAGGGAAGACAGTGGGGAAGGGGCCAGGCAGGGAGAAGGGGGAGGTGGGAAAGCATCATTTTGAGGGCTGGGAGAGCAAACCGACCAGGAATCATATTGTTGTAGAAACATATGCTTGTCCTTAAAAAAGCTGCACGTTCTTCATGACAATAGTTCCAAAGTGTGTTCCCCAGGACACTGGTAGCTCAAGACGCATCATGTAAAAGGGCCCTTGCCATCAAATAAGTTTTGGAAATGTTGCATTTCTTTACTATATTGGACCTACACAAAACACATCAATTACAGGGCAGGGGGAACCTCTCACTTTGTTTATCTCACTGTTTCTCAAGTTCATTTGACGATGAGCTCTTTAGACCATCCCATGGGCCCTTCTGTCCTGGACACCAGCAAAGAGAAGCTGACGCCCCTCAGTTGTGCCACGTCAGTCACCCTCACCTCCCTCACCCACCCAAAGGCACCGTATCCTGCATCTGACTTTTCTCTCACTTGCTTTTCCTCTTCCCTTCCTTTTCCCCCTCTCCGTGCACTGAGGCTGCAGGTGGTATTCCGTACGATGTGACCACAAGGAACAAGCCACAGCTGCCTCGTGGCCACTGCCGCCCTCCCCACCTGGGTGTCCAGGGAGGGTGAGCCCCTGGTGGGTATTTTTGAGGGGGATGAATATGTGTCAGCCCCTTTCCTTCTCAGAAGCCAGGCTCCCACCGTTTTCCAGTTTATTGTAACCAGGCCTAGAAAAAGGACGCAGGAAGGAGGACATAGACTAAAATATGCTCCTAGAGCCACACAGCCTGCCTGCCTGTTAGGACCAAGCAAACTCAGAAGCAATGTGCACACTTTGGCCCTGGAATACCAATATTTTGGAGACGATGCTCCGGCTTGATAGAGCCCCTGTGGTCAAGCTCCCTCCCTGGTCAGCAAGGTCACCGGCTGGACCTACGGAGGGCAGCTTAGAACTGTACTGAACTGGTGGTGTCTATCAGACGGCCCCACCCTTCAGGTATCTATACAAAAGCCTTTATGCAGAGTTAAGGGGTCTACACTATACGCCAAGCATATGCCCCTCTTTCAGACTTTAATTTGGCCAAAAATCACGAATCTTAGCATCTCCCCAAGCCTCTGCCACTTCTGGCCCCCAAAACCAAATGCACATCGTTCCTAATTCTTTGCCTAATTCTGGTTTTCACTCCTCTCTGGCAGAGGAGACAAAATTGAGAACACTTTGTAGCCCACAGTCCAAACAAGTAGCCCCAGGCACTTCAAGGAACAATGACCGAAAGAGTCCCCTCCTTACCTGGGCTCGGTGGAGTGGGAATGACTGCCTTCAGCCTGTTCACCTCTTCCTGGCTGAGCTGGGTCACTCTCTGGGAGATGTCCTGTTGGATGTCCCCCAGCTGCCTGAAGGTGGGGACGGCCACCGCGAAGTCCGGGATGAAGGAGATGGTCTGCATCTCCGTGACGTCCGCGCTGCCAATGCCGACACCAATGGGTACCACCCCGCCCCTCTTCAGGACCCCCGAGGGGCCACTCACATCATCCCCAGACCTGTCAGCTGTGAGGACAATCAGGAGCTGGGGGACGCCTTCCGCTATCCTGCTTCCGACAGTGCTAATCAGGATATTCCTCAGGACAAAGTCCAGGGCGGCCCCAGTGTTGGGGGTTGGCCCCCCGAGCAGGGTCATCCCACGTACGGCATTCACCACACTCTGCTTGTCCATGTACGAATTCAGGTAGAACTCAGGCCTGGTCCGGTCGCTGTACTGTACCACGGCCACACGGACCCGGTCTGGGCCCACGTCCAGGCTCTCCACCATGTCCTGGACAAACTCTTTCAACAGGGAAAAGCCGCTCCTGACACCCTCAGAGCCATCAAGCAGAAACACCACGTCCTTTTCACCTGAAACTGGGAGGAAGACAGCCTGGATGACGCACACGGCACATTAGAGGGACAATTTCCTACCGATGCGGGGAGCTGAACAATGGCCCCACAAAGAGGTCCAATTGAGAATCCCCAGAACTTGACTTTGGGGGTGTCCTTATAAGGAGGAGACAAGAGCATCAGAGCTAGAGGAAGAAGATATGTGGATGGAAACAGGGATCAGGGAAGACAGAAGGTGCAATATGGGGGAAGGGGCCACGAGCCAAGGAAAGCAGGCGGCCCCCAGCAGCTGACACAGGCGAGGAAATGTGTAACCCACCAGAACCTCCAGGAGGAACGCAGTCTTACTGACACCCTGATTGCAGCCCAGCAAAACTGGTTTTGGATTTCTGACCTCTAAAGCTGTAGCAATTCATGTTGTTTTGAGCCACTCAGTTAGTGGTAATTTGTTACAGCAGCCATAGGAAGCAAATACACCAATATATATAGATAGCCTTTTTATCTCAGAAGTTTTCAATGCTTGAGTAGTATTGTGAACTTTCAAAGATGTACTCAAGAAACAACACTGAGAGTCAGAAAGAAGGATGACAGAGACTGCATAATCGTTGGCATTTCATAGATGGGAGGTTTCAAATGATTTTCTGCAAGTCACAGTGGATCAACGGGAAAAAAAATGTAACCCAGATATCCAGGTTACAATCCAAAACCAACAATGTAGGGGCCCAATCGTCAATGTAGAAACTCTGGATTCTCAGTTTTTAATGAAAAGGATTATGCATGAAACCGGTGACTCTTTTCACTGCATTTTTATCAGCAAATGGAAAGTGGTTAAATACAGAGTCATGTAATGCAAATGGGCAGCTGGAAACTTTCATGCAGTGTTTATGGTGGGAAAGTGTCTGCCTCTTATCATGCTTCATTCTTAGTAAATGTGGTGGAGGGTACACGGTGTTACCCCCTTAAAACAAGACACTGGAGAGATATGAAGATGAAACCATTTTAGTTACAATGTAACCATGTCATGTGGTTTTTAGTATGCATAAAGCAAAAATCATGTTTCTTAAAAGGATGTTTACCACTAGTAAGCCTAAATCTTTAGAATGTATCTTATTAGGAAGCACTCTAATGTCCTTAAGAACAATTGCTCTGGATCTCCTGTTTTGCCCTACAGAGCAGTTAGAGAGTCCGAGTGGGGAAACAAAAGTCATAGTTCCTTGATTCTACAGAAACCACCTATTAAATTTTCCACCTCCCCTGGAAACCCAAGGAAGGCTTCAATCTGAGGACCTGGGGCCAGCAGCCTACCATCAACTCATGCACTGGAGAACTGGGCTGCAGAAGCAACCAGAATTTCCATGCCATACCTGGTGTCGGCGTCCCATTTTGCACTGCTTTTAATAAATTCACAATGTGTGGTTGGAGGTCTCCAATCTTAGGAAGTGACTCCGCGGCCAGGATGAAGGCGGGGGACAGCGCTATCAGCTGTAACTGGGCAAGGTCTGCGTTCTTGGCCTGTAAGATGAAAGGCACCACCGGACTCTGTTTCAGGTTGCGCGCTGGCCCATCCACACTGTCAGAGGACTTTCCCGCCACCAGCAGCACCAGGAACTGAGGCACTCTATCTTCGATCCGGCTTCCGGCGGACTTCACGAAAATGTGTCTCTGTGCATAGTCCAGGGCGTAGCCCAGGTTGAGGATTTTGCCCGTCTTAATCTTCATTCTCTTCACGATGTTCAGGATTTCGGGCTTATTCTGGTGCTGGTCGAAACGGGACTCCACCCTCACGTCGTTGCTGTACTGAGCCACGGCGACTCGGGTCCCATCCGGCTTCACATCAAGCTCATCAATAACCTTGTGGAGAAAGTCACGGACAACAGGGAACTGGCCCACGAGATTGACTGAGCCATCAAAGAGGAAGAGAATGTCTCGCTTGCTTTCTACCAAAAAAAAAAAAACCCACAAAGTTAGGACACAGTGAGAGACAAGAACATCACAGGCACCAAACTGACCACAGCCCAGCACCACCAGCATTTGGTAATGGAAGCTCACGCAATTCATCTGACGATCACTGTACCAGCAAGGGAAGGCAAACCCACACCCACTGTCATTCAAATGTCCATTTCAAAGTAGTGCACATTTGCAAAGCACTCGAGTAGCTAGACGGGTCTACCCCCACCTAGCGTCATGCTCCTTCAACAAAGCAAGACAATCAAAGCCCAGAGGGCTCCAGTCTCGCGTCAGGTGGCAATCACTCTAGGAAAACAGTCAGTGTTTTCAAATTGTTATAAGCTAAACTGTTGAACACGTGGTCTTTATTGTCCTTTTCTTCACAAGTTAACCTGTCTCTAGTGACAAAGGCTGATATGGGTAAACAACCAAAGATAACTGAGTTGACATATCTCTGCTCTAATTGGATTTATCTCCTCATTACATTTGAGGTTATGGATTGGGCCCCAAAACAGTGCCTATCGTCATTCCGTGGTGCTTTCTCATCTGCCATATTTAGACAACAGAAAAAGGATGACAGCCCGTTGGGGACCATCACGGGTCACATGAACGTGATTTTCAGTTCAAAAACTTCTTAGGATTCATTTCATTAGCCTTCAGTTGTGTCCGTCTTGCCTCCCATCTGCGATGTCGGCAAGCTGGTAGATCTAACGTGTGCATACCTAACCACCATATTAATTTGCAGTAATAATTCTAAGCCAGGCTTCCTGTGGAAATCACTTTACCATCACATAAAGATACAGCCTTTGTTGGGTACATAACAAATAATTTTCTGGATACAGCAGATTTGGAACATAAAAAAATATGTATCATTAATGGAAATAATTGCAATTTTTAAATGATCCTAATACATGCTCATGTATGAAAGAGAACCCATCTCACTCTTACTCTCTCACCTCTACCTGGAGTTGCACACCAGAATAGTCACAGGCATTGGGGCAAAAAGCCAAACAATGAGAAGATGATAAAGAAGCTTCTGAAAAAAGGGTCGGATGGGATGCAGGGAGCGTAAGCTGGATTTTCTCGACTCGCCTTCTTTTACAAACACTCTTTACAGAGGGACTCTGAACTTGCTGGTACAGTGACTCAAGCGCCCTTCAAAATACCTCAACCACAGGGAGCCATTCGTCTGTCTACAGTTCACCAGGCTCTGGAGTTCAGATCGGGCCACCTGCCCTCCCGGGAGGTGCCCGGGAGAGGGAGCCCCAACGCAGGCGCAGGCGGGGGAGCGTTACCTGGCTGGGCGAGCGGCACTTCCTCCACACCTCCACTAACATACGTGGTTAGGGGCTGAATCAGCTGCTGAGGCAAAGCCGGCAGGGAGCTGAAATCATCCATGAGGTACACCAGGCTCGGGTTAAAAGCAATGTGCTCGAGCTCGGTCTTATCCGCCTGGCTGGCGCCTACGCAAAAGGTCAGGACGCCCTCGCGGGCCAGCGCGTTGGCCGCCTGCAAATACGAGTCCTCAGACCGCCCGGCCGTGAGCAGGAGCAGCAGCTGCGGGACGCGCTCGCGGATCCGGCTGCCGCCCGCGTCGGTGAAGTGGTGTGCGTGCACATAGCTCAGCGCGGAGCCGGTGTTGCGGCCCGCCCCGCCCTGCAGCCGCAGCTGCCGCAAGTGCGCAAGCACGTCTGACTTAGTCTGGTAAGTGTTTAGGGAGAACTCCGTCACCGGAGCGTCACTAAATTGCACTAGACCGACACGGATGCTGTCACTTCCAACATCAAGGCTGTTAACTACGGCCATTACAAAGTCCCGCACATAGGGGAAATGGGTCTTTCCAACGGTGAACGATCCATCCAAAAGAAAGATGATATCCCTTTTGTTTACGTGAACTGCAGTGAAGCACAGAAAACAAGGTGAGACATACACACCCGCGCAGGGCGTCGTCATGTGTGCCTGTAACGCGCGCACACATGCCCACACGCAGGACACAGAGGAGGACACCAGTGAGCAAAGCGCGTCCATCTCGCAGAACATGGCAGAAGGCTGCACATTTCCCTCCGGCGGTGGCCGGGGCTGGTGAGGCAAATGGATAGCCAAGGTGACGGAAGCACGCTGGCTCACACAGAGACACAGTGCCAAAGCTAGGATGTTTGCAACCAGCAAAAATGAGAGGAGTCCTTGCAGCAGAATGCCCTTCCCTGGAAATGAATTCTACAAGGGTGCCGGGCCCTCTGCCTTGCTCATGCCTGTGGCCTCGGGCACAGCCGGCTTTGCACACGTGAGCTTGGGTCCTCTGGGGTTCGCCTCGACACATTTACAGAGAGTGTTCCACTTACAGACACATTAGAAGTGTTAGCCCAAGTTAACCTGAGAATATGACTTCCTTCCGGCTAAAACAAATGAATAAAATTAGGCTGTTCTCATCTTGAGGTATTTCTGGGACCTCGCATTTGTCATCCTCCACTGTCCCCTCTCCTGGGGGGGGGAGGGGCTTAGCATCGCCAGGCAATGATGCAACAGAGTGCCCATGGCAATGCCTCCAGAGTGAGGTCACAGGATCATGGAAGCACATTAAAACACAAAGAGTCAACTTGCTATGCTTGGCTGAGGTCGCACACATGAAGAATCAGAAGTATCATTCTCAGATTAGGGCGTTTCCCCCAACACATTTAGTATGTGCCTTTACAAAAACTTATCTCCCATCTCTTCCCAGGTGTCCACTAAAACGTAAAACCTAACCACTAATTTTATCCTGTGTTCACTCACATTGAACTTTGGCTATGAAAGTGGATTAGAAGTTTTAAGGAAGAAACAGAGAGAGAAAGAGAGAGAAAGAGAGAGAGAGAGAGAGAGAGAGAGAGAGAGAGAGAGAGAGATGCATACATTCATGCAACATGGGTCATGCACCAAATAGTCTTCCACTGGTAAAGTTTGTGAGGCGGAAAAGCTTGTTTCCGTGATTTTCATCTTCATTGAGGACAGCAAATTGTAGTCATTCAATTCATAAGCTCATAGACCGTTGAAATATCTTTTAAAATAACTTTCCACTGATAATCATATTACATGAGAGGTTTAAAGAACCACTGTTTTTATCTTCCACCCATCCATTCACTATGCTTTCCCATTGAAGGAAATCCCTTAGAGGGGAGAGGGGTTAATGTTCTCCACTGCTGAAGTTCAGACCATTTGGGAGGGACAGTCAGCTCGGGAGAGGACGAGCCAGGCCACATAGGTGGGGGAGGAGGAGGCTGGACAGCAGTCACCAGCAGAAACAGAACACGGGGAGCTCAAGAAAGGGAAGGGCTGAGAAGTGACCTTCTCGGCTAGAAGCTTCCAAGACAGGTGGCCCCTGGTCCTGAAGTTTAACTCACACAGTTCATGTTATACGACATTTGAAGTCGTACAATTCTTGTATGACACCTTAAGACATACAGTTGTACCAAATGGCATTTTAAGTCATACAATTCCCAGCTCGGGCTAAACAGAAACCTGAAATAAATCTCATTTGTTGCTGTTGCTTCCATCATTTAAGAGTTGTCCCCTCACTGAACACAAAGAAAACTTCCTTTTATTTTTTTTTCTCAAAGGCTCTGTCTGCATGGAGACCATCCTACTGCATGCCTGATGCCCGCCCCACCGTACCTTCAGTGGTTCCAGAGAGGGTCCTGAGAGGCGCCAGCAAGCTGGGCAGCATGCCTTGCAAAGGGTTGGTCTGGAACTCGGCAGGGCTGAACACCAGGGACGAGTCAAACGCCATCTCCTCCAGCTCAGCCTGGTCGGCAGCCTTGCTCCCAACGGCAAAGCACATGATGCTGCTTCTCTTTAGCTCCTGCGCAGGCTGGCTGATGTCATCCAGGGACTTACCACCTGTAATCAGCACCAAGAGCTTGGGGACCCCCTCGGTGGCCCGGTAGCCAGACGCACTGGTGAACAGGTGGTTCCGAACAAAGTCCAGAGCGGAGCCCGTGTACAGGGCTGAGCCTCCCATGGGCTTCATTTTCCTCACGGCAGCAATGACTTCCTTCTTGCTGGGATAGCGGTTGAAATTAAACTCTGGCCTCACGGTGTCTGCATACTGAGCCACTGACACTTGGATAAGATCCTGGCCGATTTCCAGCTTCTGGATGACTCTGGCAATGAACTCGCGGATGGCATTGAAGCTGGGCCCGTCCAGTGCCGATGAGCCATCCACCAGGAAAACTATGTCCCTCTTGCTGACTTCAATGACTGTAGGTGGCAACATCATAAGGTGAGAACAACCGTCTTTTACCAGCAACATTCAACTATGACTCTACACAGCTAACTCCACTCAAAGAACGTTCCCGTCTGCTGGGGCCTGAGGGAAGTCAGGGGAACCCCTGGGGAGTTTGTCATAACACACACACAGGTTACAGCTGTGTCCTTCCCTGCAGGATGGCAGCCTAGGCTCCCGTTCACCCCCACACTCCCGTCAGTACTTTTTACAAAAATTGTTGCACAAAAACAAATTTAGTTTCTTAGCCACCAGTTCAGCATGCTGCCACTTAAAATGTCAGGAAGCTCTTTTCTGCCATAAATCTACAGCTTGGGTTTCAGAGGCCAGAATGATGCCATCACTCAGATCATGAAAGAAGCAATCCACATCTGATCAGGGGCCCCTTTGTGTCGCAAACTTGACTTCATGAACACCTACTGCCAAGCGCAAAAGCTGAAAGAGCATAAACATCCCCATTCCTTCCATTATATTCTCCAAGAAAAAAGAAATTACTTGGCATCATGAAGTTTAGAGAGCCCTGTGTCGTGAAGGTTCTGAGCTGTGTGGTAAGACTGTGATAAAGACAAACCAGGAAGCAAAGATGCCTTGACACGGTTTCTGCCTGGAGGTGACTGACCTTCTGTCCCCCCGCTGTGACCCTGGCAGCCCGCCTGGGTCACAGGAATGAATGAAGCAGCTCAGCCCACAACACCCACTCCAGGAACCTGGCAGGGCTTCCAAGACTCAGAAGGCCATAAATGGTCAAAGCTAGGGCAGGAGGGTTTGCAGTTTATTAGGGAGTGGCCTGGACGTGAGAGGCCGCCATCCCTCCATGCCGCCAGTGGATTATATGCGGCACTGTAATTTACTTGACCTTTGGCTATACTGACATTTATTGGTCCAAACCTTTCTCTACAGGAGAAAACACGTAAACGCACACATAGGCACAAAGCACCCAGGGACAGGCATGTGGGGACCATGGCTTTGGCATCAAGCTCTGTGTAGACAATGAATGTCAAGTCCTCAACTCTCGTAAAGACCTGCAGACAGGTGGGACCCTCACTACACATGTGGTCGAAAGACACTGAGTGTCCCGCACCTGCCTTCTCCTCCTCCCGCGCCTTCCCTCCATATAGACGTAAAAACCATGTACGTAGCCATGTGTTAACCACATGTGTGCCTTCACAGGTGTGCCTGGGTGCACACACTCTCGCACACACAGCCCTCCTGCACCACAGAAGCTGCACCACCATGAGCACAGATTCCTGTATTCAGCAAGAGGTCCACAACATGCGTGACAGATGAATAGAAAGCTCAGTGCCCACCCCCTGATCACCTGCTGACTCACCTTATCTGCTTGGGGGACAGCCCCCACTCCCCCTCCAGTAAGAGATGTCCTCCTTTCTGACATGAGACACCAACCCAAACAAAGCCATCTTCTCTCTTTCACAGGCTTCTGCTGGGACGCAGTTTGCAATCCCCATGATAGGAGGTGAACCTGCTGACGGGTCGGCTCAGCCCTCACCTCCCTGCGGCCCCAGCCCAGCACATCTCCCAAGACGCCAGCTCCCCTGCAGCCCTTGCAGCCCAGGGCTGGGGTGACTGCCCTCACTCTCCCACCTACTGTTTCCAAGCAAATTCTCCTGAAACGTCCATCTTCCTCTTCACCCTACGCTTGGGGTGAGTCAAGGCTACTTGTAGGCCACTCTGCTCGGTGACTCAGGGATCCTGACTTCTCATCAACCATGGCCTCCTGTCCTGCAGCACCTGCCTCTAGGGCCACCGAGGCCCACGTCTGTCCACCCTCGCTCCCAGTCAGGCCAACTTCACTTCCCTCCTCCACAGCCTTGCCTCCAGTTCCCTGTCCTGGGTCAGACACTCCTGCCAAAGCCTCCATCTTTCCCCCTCTCTCTTCCCCTGCATCTCCAGGCAGCTGGATGGACGTTCCTGAGAAATGCACACAACTGGACACTGTGCTGCGCGCCGGAATCCCAGACCGCACACACCGACGGTCAGATAGCGCTGCCCCGGCAAGCTCGGCTCCCCCATCCTCCAGAGCGGCTCTCCCACTCCGCTCTCTGCTCCTAGCTCTCACCACCACACCCACGCAGGGCTCTCGGCTCCCAGCTCACTGAGCCGCTGGAAGCCACTGAGGAGCAGCCCAGGCTTCCATCGCGGACACCACAGCCTTCCAGCATCGTCCCGTCCGCTGCCCCGTCTCTCCACACCGGGACCCCTGAGGACCTCCATGCGGACGCAGCAGTGGGTGCTCTTCATCTGCATCCTATGCAGCTTCTCGGCCGTTTGGGGCCCTGGGGACCTCTCCCTCCCTCGAGACACTCCACCCTCTGTCTCCCCCCATCGCTGACTGCCCCTCCGGGCTCCTTTCCAGGCCATTCCTTTCCTCACCCAGCTGTACAAGTACAGCTCCTGGAGCCAGTCCCCGAGGCCTGTCTCTCCCCATCCACACCCCAGGGATCCTCTCCCGTGAATGCCGGTACCCAGCGCCCTGCTCACCTGAACTTGACATGCCCACCGTGAAGCTGCAGACACTCACGCCCTACACAAGCTGCCCCTCCAGTCTTCCACGCACAAAGTGAGCCCGGCCCCCTGCCTCCGACAGCTCTTGGGGGGAGGGGAGGCCCAGGCTCCTCCATGCTGCAGGCCACCCCACTGGGAACACTGTCCCCTCTGTTCTCCATCTGCTTATCGCCTTTCTATCCTGCAGCTTCTCAGACCTGCCTTCCCCGGCCACTTGGCCACCCCATTGAATGCTCTCTGCCCTTGTTCTTTCCATGACAGCCCCCTTACATGACCTCATGTCACTGATCACACTCGGGGCGTGGTTTGCTTGGTCATTGGCTTAAATTTTTGTTATCTATCTATCTCCCCATTCTGCTATGAGGCCAGTGTCCACATTGGTCCCGTCCACCAGCACTGTTGCCAGGCCTCGGCACACTGTCTGGCACATATCAGATAACCAAGAATTTTTGTTCAATATTCACAAACAAATCACAAAGATTAAAATCGTGTTTGTAAATGAAGCTCACACACCAGTGAGCTAGGGAAAACTGAAATGAGGGCCATGCGCTGCCCCCAGTTAAAAAGAATTTGAACCTTTTCTGGAAACAGAATTATATCTTCATCTAGTGTAACTCCTTCGTCATAGATTCAAAAAACTGGAGCCCAGAGAGGATGTGTGGCCAGCCCAGGATCACACAGCTGGTTAACGTAAGACCCGGGACCAAAGGCCATCTCTCCCCACTACAGCCGTGGTGCCCCATCGGGGTTTACAAAACCCGTGGGAATTTTTGTTTTCCAAAAGTGAGCAAGTGCAGAGAAACCTTTGTAGGCTGTGTTCCAATCAAACGGATGTCTACAAATATCAAGAGACTCTTCAAGGTGGAATTTTACATCGAACCTAATTTATCCCGCCCAGCAATATACCTAATACCATTGGTCATAAGATCTCCGACGGACAGATAGGATCTCCAGTCAGTGTAACTTGGTACAACTGGGTCTACCTGATGTTTAACTGCCACAGCACCAAGCACATCTGTATTTTTGTTTAAATTTTGAAATACACTGCCCAACTCCCACAGTCATTACATGTATATTTGTATGTGACTTGATTAGCTTTATGTTTTTAAAATGACCCCAACTGGGCTTTTTGCCAAAGGCCCTCATTTGAGTGTACGTCATAATGTCTCCACTCAGAAGAACTACCCTAAACTTGACAGGCACAGGGAAAAAGCGTTCTCTAAATATTGTGCCAAGTTGAGTGCTTTGCTATGTCTCACCTTCAGAAGTATCCCTCTCAACAGCCAGCACAAAAAAGAGTTGGAAGAGTCAGCCCTCACGTATCGATGAGTTCACTTCTAACTTGCTGACTTTTAGAGGTCAATGTCATTATCCTGGAATAATTTCCTCAGAATTGTAATGAACCCTTGAGGTCCATTTTTAGGATGACTGCATCATCAGTAGATAATCCAATGATGTTCGACATCTTAAAGTAACAGGTTTGTTAAATGACAACTTTCTTGACCACTCACGAGCTTTCCACTCACTCATAGATCTTTACTATTTTTAGAAACCGCAACCATCACAGACATCACATCCAAGAGCTGGCTCACCTCAAAAGGACTTGGCTGTATGTGGTACTTACAGGTTCTCCTGAGGCGAATCATTCTGTAAGGTGCCCGCCTTACATCTACAAAAACCAACACACAAAACACCCCGCTCCCACACGGAGGGTGAGAAGAGCATACGTACCTTGAGTGACAATGGTTGGCGGTTGCAAGACAATGCGCCTTTGGGCCACGCCAACAATGTACGACAGTAATTGCTCCTGGAGGTCCCCAAAGCTATGGAATTCCGGGGCAGTGAACACCAAGTTGTCATTGGTGGCTATGTACTGAAGGTCTGCCCTGGGGGCGGCCTGGGCTCCAAGGCCGAAAGAAAACACGCTAGCCCGCTTCAGTGCTACCACCCCATCGTGGATCTCGTCACTAGAAGGCCCAGCACTTACGAGGACCAGCACCTGGGGAACCCCTTCTTCCACTCGGCTGCCTCCTGCCCGGGTGAAGTGGTTCTCCACCACGAAGTCAAGGGCAAGGCCAATGTTCGCCAACTCCCCACCAAGGAACCCAAGGGCTTTGATTGCATCCAGAACCTCAGCCTTGGTGGAGTAGGTGTCCAAGGAGAACATGGTTCTGGGCTCATCACTATACTGGACCACCCCCACTCGGATCTGCTGAGCTCCAACTGAGAGTCTCTCAAGGAGATTTACAAGGAAGTCGCGAAGGACTGTGAAATTGACACTTCCGGTGTTGTTTGATCCATCAATAAGGAAAATAATGTCAGCAGAGTCTTGTGCTTTAAAAGAAAGAAATGCAAAAAATGTGAAAGCATTAGAACAAGTGACCACATGCATTATTCAGTGTTCTGACATGTTTCTTTGGAAACCAATAAGAAACAGGAAATATGGACAAACACAACACATGGTGATTAAGGAACGTGAAATTCTTTTTTAGTTCTGCATTCTGAATGGATAAGAGGCAACTTCTTAGAAATGATGGTGTACAACAGGGACATTTAAATCAAATTTTTATTTGTGCCATTTTTGTAGAGATCATATTCACTCTTCTGGGTACACAGTCTAGAAATTTCTACAAAATTTGCATGGGAATGTAGTTGCATGGAATTGTGCATTAACCATACCTATAGAAAAAAATAAAGGAGTACATTAACAAAGGTCCAAAGATGATTTCTAATTTTTGAACATTTTTCTCATTATCCTCATGTAATTGTAAGAATTTTCCTCATCCAAATCTACAGCTACAAAACAGAATCTCAGATTCAGAGTCTGGTGACTCATCATCCACAGTGTGTTAAACACTTGATTCTTTGATCAACTGTTGTGACTTTTTTTTTTCTTTAAAAACCAAAATGGCTGCATACATGCCACTTTGTGAATATGAAAGGAAAAATTCAAACTACACTGAAAGTTTCGATTTTAAAAATACTCTGATCAATTTTTGGTTTGATTTTCTTTTTCTCATACGATGTTGAGTTGCGTGACACTCAAATAAATGCAGGTCTGGGATTAAGCTAGATGTTTTGTTAATGTCTTTTTGCTGTTGCCTCTGTATTCAATCATGTAATGCAGAACAATGTTAAGCAGAGTGATATGAAACCAGTCATGACATAATTATCCAACTTTGTTTTTTATGACATCCTAATGCAACCTGATTGCCTCACGGGACCATGAGCCTCTAAGAAACCCTTAATCAGAATTAGCTTCCGGGTTATGCAAATGGACTGACCAAGACCTCTTTTCGCCCCACCATGGCAAACATGAAATTTTCATATCGTTACTGAGAATCGGGGTTTCACAGAAGCACTGCGTGATGAATGGCAATCAAAAACTCTAGAAACCACGGTAGAATATTTCAAAGGCTCAGCTAGATCATTTAAATCAGACTGAGTTAAACTACAGGAAAAGCAAAATTATTCTGGTAAGTGTTATTTTAATAATTTAACTGTGTGTTAGAAACAAGAAGAGATTTTAGGGGACCATACACAATATTTATATTCTGAGCTTTGGGGAAGCTATATTTGGGGTATAATTATAATAGTATACGTAAGACCGTTCATTCTGATCTTTTTAATGACAGTGAATATTTTATATTTAAAATTACTTTGTCTCTGTGCCAGCAAAATTGCTTTTATGTTCACTATGGAAACAGGACACAAATCTTGTCTCAAACAATTGAAGAGTTTTGCTGCAGTGAAATTACGTTCTTACCTAACAATCCCTCTCATTGCGGAAGCTGAGCCAGAGATTGCTAGAATCCGTACACTTCTCTCTTTCCTTACACCCCTGGCATCCTTGCATAGGGAAAGATATTAACTTGGAAATGTAAGGGCTAATGGAAATAATTTTTCACTTAATTAAGACCTTGTGTTTTTAATAACTGCCACATAAAAGAATTAAATAAGGGCTGAGCCTTTGCTAAGAAATCCAAAGCACTTGCTACTCTTTGGCCAAAACATGAGCTTCCTGAGGAAGCTGTGGGCGGGTGCTGCACAGCAGCGTGAACCGGGCTGTAGGAATGGCTCACGCCTTCACGTGACTAGAGGCTCTGCACATCATACCGCAGAATTCCCCAACGTGGCCCAGGCCTAAACCAGTGACCCCAAGGGACAGAGGAAGATTTGCCACATGCTCTGCACAGCAAGACAACTAAAAGAAGGACTAACAATGATCTCAGGGGCAATGACAGGAAATATCACAGGATGACACGTTCCCTTTTACTTACTTACTTTTTGATTGCAATTTACAAGAGTATAAATAAGATAAATGAACCCTGAGGGAAAACCCTTGAACGTTTCTCTGCTAAAAAGCTGAACAGCTGCAGGTCATAGAAAAATGTTGGATAATTTGTCATCACTGAAAAAAACAACACTGTCCTCTTAGGCACACAATGATGGGACACACAAGGGCATGCTGTGTTATCCAGGACGGCCGAAGCCTCGAGAAGACGCAAGAGCCACGGGCTGCCGCGCACAGCAAGGCGCACCAACGCTCAATACAAATTCTAGGGGCGATCAGGTCTACGGAAAATTGACACCATGAACCGGCCTGGCTTTCCTTAGCTCATGGGGCACTTCTTTTTTTTTTTTAAAGATAAATTACAAAGATCACATTTGTATTTCCGATGCAAATAAAAAATTGTTCATGGGTTTCATGCGTCCTTGGAATCTTCGTGTTGTGCAAAGAGAAGAAAGCGCCCACTGGAGTCCTGGCTGAGCGTCGCCCACCTTCAGCTTCTGCTTTAGTTCAAAGCTTTTGCATCTTATATCCATTTACAAATGGGATTTTTAAAAAACAGGACTTTCAGAGACTGATTGCAGCATGTATTTAGAACAGTGGCAATCATGAACATTTTATACACAAATATATTTATGGGGGAAAGTTACCTGGTGGACAGGTAATGGGAACAAGTTGCCCTGACTCGTTAGCAGTCCCTGCAACGCCTTCCTGACTCCCTTTCCCCAAAACGATAAGCAGAGTGTTATTATTATTATTTTATTTTTTCTGTGGAACATGCAGTGGGACATGATACTGGAGGAATTGCAGAGTGAAGTTAATCGGAAAAGACAACATAAACGGATTAATGGTCCACCCTGGTGCTGCTAGTGGCTTGGACACTAGAAGACAGAGATGCTTTCTTGGCATAAAAACAAAGGTTTTATCATCTGTATGGAAACGTAGTGCGCTGACAGGCTCATTTAGAATTCGTATGGCTATCTAATGGTCTGCTCATTTACATAATGGTTAAACATAAAGGCAGACCCACCACACTGTTTTCTGAGTTGGACAACACATCAATAAAGAAAAGATGCCCCATTTCTCTACTGACCCCTTCACTGTTTTTGACATGGATTAGTTCTTATCAATGTATTCAGAAATAAAATGATCAGTGAATTATTGATACTGAGAATATCGTAGCAAATGGAATGGGTCATTCTAGACACCCACTTGTCATTTCCTGGTAGCCTGGAGGAGTGTTTGGTGCGGGGCGCTCTCAAGGGTCCCACCTTCGGTTCCTGAAATCTGGCAGGATCGATATTAGGCCATCATTCAGAGGTGAGGCATGTCTTCTGAAGTAGGGGTCACTTTTTAGTGTTAAATATAAATGGTCCCGGCTGTCACCCACTCCTCCCCCTTAGAAGCAGATCCACTGGTAGCGCTCCCACCCCATCAAAGCTGAAACTACACGTAACCGCTGGGGAAACCATTTGATGAACAACCTAATGAAACACCTTGAGGTTGGTTAGCTCTGAAAGCCTTCTCTTTACTAAGCTCTCTGCAGCCTAAGATAGCTGCTTCCTTTCTCCTGACATCTAGTCATCTCGCTCCTCATACCTCGTTTTTGGAACCTCTGCTATGAAAACCTGATGATTAGCACTGTTTCCCTACATTCCTCCATGGCCCTGATCATCATCCCAAAAGCTCTACCTTTCTGTAGACTCCTCTGCCCCTCTGGCCTCCCCTAGACCCCTCCCATGTGGCCTTTCAGGTTGGTTGATTTATGCCTCAAATCCTCAACTGTTCCTTCTTCCTACTCCACCCAACGTCTTGAGTTAACCAGAGGCTGACTTTGCGCCTGTCACCTCGCCTCATCCCTCCTGTCTCTGCACTCCTCTTGGTGGGAACCACTTTAAGAAGCCAAGGAGAAAAGCAGTCCATAGATCTGCCCGCAGTGGTCTCTCTGCGCCGTGCACTGCAGGCCTCCTCAGGCCCGCTTACCCATGCACTCTCTTTTTCTTGCAAAGAATTACACATTCCCTTGTTGAGGTTAAGTACACTGGAGGGATTCCCCAACCTTCCTAAATGATGTCAGTTACACCAGGCTCAGCCTGCATCCACACCGCACACCTGTGGTCATCTCCAGAGACTTTAACATCTATACGGATGAGGTCCCTGAGCACCAGCTTCCTCATGCCTGTGGTCCTCCGTCGATTGCACCCTAAGCACATGAGGGCCACTTTGCGCATGTCCTTGAAACTCTTCCACCCCTACCGCCTGTCCTCCACACATACTGGCAGTGCCCCGTGTTACGCACGTGGCTGCCTCTGGGGATGTCCCCTGTTCTGGCCTATCATCCCCTGACTCTTCCAAAGTCTCCCAGCCCATTCCAGCTCTCATCCACTTCCTGGCCCAGCCAGGACCCCAGGGCGGACTAGGTCAGGAATTCACTTGCTACCATTCTGGGTTTCCTTGCCAAGAAGATCTAGCCTCGCTATCATTCTCTGTTTGCAAGCTCCACACCTGGGAGCTCCTTCTCGTCCAAAAGGGCCTGAGACCTCGGCAGAAAGTCAGGGCAACCCACTCACCAGAAGACTCGGGTTCTCTGCTGACAACCGGCCATCACTGCGAGTCAGCAGTTACGTCCTGGACATTTTCTGACCCCTCATCACAGCCTCCAAGCTCCCAAACGCCACTGCCTGTCTCCCTCTGTCATCTTCTCTTATTGAGATGATTGGAACTCTCTCAGCTTCCCCCCCTCCACCTGGAAATCCTAAAAACACAGCCCCTTTCTCTTCCCTTCCCTCCATCTCAGAGGATGTGCCTCTCTCCTTTCTGGAACTCACCTCTCCCCTGAGACCCTCTGCATCCACCTGAACCCCCTGCCCGTTCTCCTAGAATCCTCTGTTATCGATTGTCAGTCGGCTACATGGACTAGTTTCCAAACAAAGCGAGTCCTGCCCACCAGCCCGTCCATGATGAGTAAGTCTAGCCATGGGCACCGGTCAAAATTGCTGTGGTACAGTATGCTTCACATTTTCCCTGCCAAATTCTTTTCTGCGGGTCTTTTAGGCACTCAGCACTGGACAGAGAGCTAACGGGTTCGACTGGCTAAATGACTTGCCAGCCAATTAGTTCTGCGGTTACTACTGTGCAATAACACGTCAATGTCATGTCCGTGCCCGGTCAGTCCTCCCAGAGTGTCAGTGACAAAGGCCATTTGAACAGAAGAGTGTCTGTGGGCACAGCCACACTTGTAGCCTGGAGATGAGTGAAGAGCAGACCCAGGGCCCACACCTAACGGCCTCCAGCTCTGGCCTTTCTAACTCCACGTCACTTACGCTCCAGGACTCAATGTCTTCTAAATCCACCTGGACTGGGTCATAGCTAAGGTTTCTTACAAGTCTAATTCAATCAACTCTCTGAAATAAATTCCATAGAGTGGAAGAGAGGTGCTCTCTATGCCATCCCACTGGACACAAGAGTTTCCACTCACTCTCTCTCCCTTCACTCATGCTCCTTCCAACATGGAGCTCTCTTTAAAGGAAACAGGCCTTGTGTTCCCATAACAAATGGAGAGATTTCTGTTAGAAGCCTGCCTTGCCAAAGCTGAAGCTTTCTTTTCTCTGGATCATACGAGTACCTCCTATGAGGTCATAATGTCTGTCAGGTGTGGGGGGTTTTTTTCCAAGTTAAAATTTGTTTTAAAAACCATCCCCTTGGATGGAAGTGAATGCTCTGTTTTAGAAGGAGACTACAGAGGGTATCCAAACCTTTGTTTTTAAACCTGTGAACTGTCATCTCTTCCCTAATCCACCCGCCAGTGTTTAGCCATAGTGTTGCTTTAATGCCAGCAGTTGCCAAGCTTATCTCCAAAGTACAGCAAGGCAGGCAGCAGCGTGACAACGTTGCCATTACCTGTGATGTCTTTAAGGGTCTCTGTGTCTCCAGCCCTTTCTAGAGCCACGGATGAGCGCACATAGGACACTAAATTTCCTACTATGTCAGGAAGTGATGTAACATTCTCTAGGTTGAAAACATGCATATTGAACGGTTCACTTGCTATTTCTTTTAACGCTCCTTCATCTGCATCCTCAACTCCAATTGCAAACACGTTAACGTCAGCAGACTTAAGTTCCGCTGAGGGCAGAGCAAGACCGTCGTCCGAGTGTCCATCAGTTAACACTACAATAACCTGAGGGACTCCATCACTGGCCCGGCTTCCAGCAGCCTTAGTGAGGTGGTTTTGCATTACGTATTCTAATCCTTTTCCAGTCTGATTGCTTTCCCCAATATAAGACATGTTGGAAATATGAGAGAGGGCTTCTTGTTTAGTACGATACGTATTTAACAGGAACTCGGTATGTGGGTTGCCGTTGAACTGGACCAGAGCAAAATGGAAATCATTTTCTCCCACAGCTAAAGATTCTATAACATCATATAGAAACTCTCGAACAAGTTGGAAATGTTCCTTTCCAATGCTCCAAGAGGAATCCACTAGAAATATTATATCGGCAGCGGCACCATTTTTGACATCTTTAAAAAAAGACATTGGTTTAGATTTTTCTCCTGTTCAAGCAAAGCCTTCCTAAACTAGTTTAGTTTGTGCTATGCTGCTACTAAATCGTTCACACCTCACTTGCAATACAGGCAGGTAGGCTGACTTACCTGAGAAGCAGGGACTTGGACACGCGGACTCAACAGCTGCTGGTGCCCAGTCATGGTCCAAGTTCTGTATGCAATCAGTGACCGCACACTGCCCCTGGGCGGGCCCCAGAATGGGGGAAAAATGTTCCCGGGGTGTCTATTAACTCAAGCATGATTCTTTGTGGTACTTTGAACCCCAACACCCACCTGATCGGACCGGAAGGATAGCCTATCACAGGTGACCAACTGTCATTTTATAAACTCATTCTTAACTTTTGGGTCTGAAACTGGGCCTTGAGGAGAAGGAACAGTGAAAACTGCTACTGGTTTACAATAACTAACCTCCAATGCTTTGGGGAATGTCAAGAAAAATGAATGCAATCAATAAGCCATCCTACAGCGAAGAAGACTTGTGCAACTGGAGAGAAAGCCAAGTCTCATTTTTCTCAGACTTTTTAGCATGAAGAAAGGTCCCCTAAAGTGTCCCCACACACTTTTCAGGGCCAGAAAAGCCTTCCTAACTGTTGGGCTTACGTTTTCTCTTTCAAAGATGAATCCCGTTCTCCCTCAGAAGTGGGAGCAGGAGGCTCAGGGTGCCAGGTGGTCGGTGTGGAGAGCACCTTGCTCAGCGATGGGCCAGGCTGGCTCCTGAGTCCTACTTACCTCGGGCTGACCCCATGCCCCAATGAAAGCTTCCCTCTCACTGAGGTGGCACCACCTCCCCGCCATCTAATAATAAGCAGGTCTGATGGGAGGATCCCTATCAGAGGGACAGCTCTTCCGGCAAACGAGAGGAAGACCCGACTCCTCCTGAACTCATAATGCATGAAGCATTTCTCAGTTTTCTAAAACTCTGCAAACACATTCTTAATAAGATTAGATAGGATCGATTTTTAAAAATCGATCAGTTTTGGGAAACTAATTTTGAAAAGATTGGATAAGTCTAGATGGAAAACCTTTCCGTGCTCAGAATTATAGACAGAGGGTGCTCTTTGCGCTTGGTTTTCAAGGAAAATAATGTTTACTCTCAAAGGTTGTCTTCTCCCGGTTGGATGTTCTCAGAGACCAGCCAGGGCCAGAAATGTGGAAATGCTGTTCAGATGGTCAAGTATTTGTGACACAAGCTTTCTGCTCAAACCCAATGTAAAAACAAATAACTTGCAAACCAACTCCAAGATATCAAACCCAAGTTCTAGTAAAGCTAAGCCCTCTCTCACTGGATAAAGAGAATCTGAGAACGTCTGTGAACTAGATGAACATTCCATAATGAACAGCTTAGCTAGCCCCGAAAAGCATCTCTAAGCTCTCTATCAGCTCATGACCTCATGACCTCAAATCAGAGAACACTATTACTTTTATAACATTAAGAGGTGTTTCTGGATCTTACCTGCTTGTTGTTGGGCACGAGTTAACGAAAAGCCTGAGAGAAAGAGGCAATAGATGGCCACTACGAGCAAATGTCGCTGTTTCCTCATTTTGAATTTGTTTGAGCACCACGTGTGAACCTAAAAGAGAAAACAGGACAGAGGAATCACCAGCGTTTGACTCTCAGATTGCTAACTAGTGAATTAAGGACTTATCCTGTTTGTGAAAAACAGCTTTGACTGAACATATACGTGAGAATCTTTGCATCATTATTGTATGATTTTGGTCATAGCTAAAAACTGTGCACCTTTTTCCTCTTGAACTGGGGCAGGCAGCAACGGCGTATCACTAAACAAATGGCAGAATGGAAACGAGCAGGAGTAAAGGCAGGCCCAGGCACGAAAGTGGCAGGTTTGTGACACCCAGCTGAGCTTTGTACATCACGTTTAAAGGGATCCCATAGGAAGGGCTCAGTTTACGGACAGAATGGACTTTGCCCAAATCACAGCACATGCAAACACAACCACAGCAGCTGGGGCCATTTCGAATCTTCCCCTTATTCTCTATTAGCATTTAGTACTTTTCCTCCAACAAAAACGTCCTGTGTGCCAACCTCCAATCTCAGAACGGAACAAGCTCAGAGCTACTGAATTAGCCACACTGTGAAAGCAGACCTGAGGACTGACTGCCGTGTTCCATGGCCCCCTTACCCACCCACCAGCTGGTGGCTGCAAACGTGACTTCAGGCCAGCTGAGCTAAGGTTCAGATGGCCTCAGTAGCCTGTGTCACCAAGCCTTCTCCCTGCAAGCAAACAACGCCCTCTCCTCACGCCAAACCAGAAAGTGCCCCCACCTGCACCAAACCTTCATGTCAGCCTCTTCACCTTCCCATCCCCAATCCAGTGAGCACCGCGGCTCTTCCTTAAGCCTCCGGAGATCTGGCTCAGGTCTTCTCTTATGTCCGCTTCTCGGAACATCCTCTTTTCTCTTTCCCTGGGCCCAAGGCTCAGGTTACCCCCAACTTTTTCTTGGGTCATGGTTATGTGACCCTTGCAATCCCATAAGACCCCATGCCTGGTTTAATGCTCTCCTGAAATTCCTAATAACTTTTGGACAAGGGCCCCCATTTTCACTTTGCATTGGACCCACAAATGATGATGCTTGTCCTGGGTGCAGCTGTATATCTATATCAATGATCCTCGTTACTCTTACCCAGACTGGTCAGGGGTTTTCTGATCAGGGGCTCAGGTAACAGTTTTAGGGAGACGAGGTACTGGGAACACGAGTGGGCTATGACGTTATCAAACCACTGGTTTTGATGTCATGTTATCAAAAGTTATTAAGCGTCTACTATGTGCACCATGCACTGCTTTTCACCATTTAGCTCACTGATTCTCACACTGTCTTTTTAGGTAGATGTTAATCCTCATGCTTATAAAGAAGGAACTGGGGCTCAGAGAGTAACTGGCCCAAGTCACACAACTGTTAAGGGACATCTTGATACTCAAGTGGCACCTACCACTCTCAAAGTTAATAAGAAAAAAAACATTGCTTATGCTCTACAACTTGTCAATCAAGTTCAACAGCTTGAGTTTGGAGCTTTTTAGAAGTCAAATAAGGAGCAAGTGACAGTGCTTGGGTGACTATCAAGGTGCTTGGAGACAGACAAACCTGGGTCCTGGTTCTACCACATCCTACCTCGGGCAGGTCATGGTCATTTAACTGCTCTGAGCCCCAGTTTCCTGCTCTATAATGTGGGAGTCATATGAATAATACCTCCCTTGCCAGCTTCCTTGAGGACTGTGTGGTAACAGCTGCTTCTTAAATACCTGACACAGGCTGGACAGTAGGTGAATTCTAACCACCATTCTCTTCCAAGGTAGGTTTTGCCAGCATTTCCCAAAGTGTATTCCATCATTCATTCTATGAAATATTCTAGGGGGAAAAAAGGCGGGAGTTCCATGAGCAACAGCATTTGGGAAGCACTGAAAAGCCAGCGCTCTTCTGGAACTGTTACAATATATGGTACCTTGTAACACCTCAGAGAAGCAAAGAAACCTGTTCCACTTTATTTAACCCAGAATTTCCCAAACACGTTTCATAAAATCTTTCTTCAGGGCCGGCCGAGTGGCACGATGGTTAAGAACTGGCTTGGGACGCCAGAGGGCCCCGGTTCGGATCCCACATGTGAGGCCAGTGACACTGCCCTCCACAGCTAAGATGCTGAACAACAGCTCAACCTGGAGCTGGGCTGCCATGAGTCACCGGTGACGGCATAGGCTGCAGCCCCTGCTGCAGTGGGTTGCCATGGGCTACCGTGTGTAGCCAGCAGCCAGCATGAGTGGCCAGCAGCCGTAGTGAGCGACCATCCAGAAGCCGGCGACTGATCTGCCTCGCCCGGGAAGAGCACAATGATGGTGCCAGCTTGGGCCAGTGAAGCAACGTCCTCCACAACTAGACTGAAGAACAAAAGGACAGCAACTTGTCTGTTCCCCTTCCCCCAATTCCCCACGCTGTTCCCTCCCCCAATTCCCCAATAAAATCTTCAAAAAAAAAATCTTTCTTCAATAATAGCTATTCCCATCCAACGAAACAAGTGGCACACATTAGGAGCAATAACTACTCATTCCCATGTCTGGTCTTGCTAAGTCCTTGCTGCTCTAAAGCACTAAGTGAGAGGCATCTCCACCTGCCCAGGTCTCTACCTGACCCAGGTCAGGGGTTTGTGCATGTCTCTCCCCTTGGGGCTCCATTAACTGCAAGTTGGGATCCATGTCCCTTGATGGAGGAGCTCACCACCTCCTAGTGACCAAGGGAGAGGGTGGAATGTGTAGATGACCCAAGTATCTCCAAAGAGGCTTGCGGGGGGGGGGGGGGGGGGGGGGGGGGGCAGGACCAATCTCATCATCAGCATAAACTTCCAGGGTGCTAGTTCATATTATTGGTTATTTTTTCTTGTACTTAGTTTCAGGAAGTACTATTTGATATTGGAAATTATATAGTATAAACTACAGTTAAGTGAGAAATCCCACTTGGTTTAAGAAACTTAAACATTTAATCTAGAGAGATTGGGTTACCATCATAATTTATGTTTCATTGTTAGGGTTTGAAGGTTAAAAAGAAGGCCTTGTGACTTATAACATGACAGTTATTTCAGTCAGTGTGAATGAAAATCGAAAACATCTCTCTTGATTTTCAAGGATATGTCAGATCTTCAAATGTGGTTTTTGAATCTTATAATACTAAAAGCCCAAATGCTTCTAAATTGCCTTTATATCCCCTGTGTTTGGAATGGTTTGACTCTTCCTTGAGAGAGGCAACGGGAAACAACAGCGAATCAGGAATGCAAAATGGCTTGTGAAATATCATCACTGCTGAGAAGTTGAGAACATTTGCCAGACTCCATGAAACACAGAAGAAGTGAGGACAGAAATATACCAACAAATTAGACAACCTAGAAAAACTGGATAAATTTCTGGAAACATACAACCTATCAAGACTGAATCATGAAGAAATAAAAAATCTGAATAAACCTAGAACTATTTAGGAGATTATTTTAATGATTTCAATAATCGAAACTCTCCCAACAAAGAAAAGTCTAGGACCAGATGGCTTCACTGGAGAATTTCACAAACAGTTAAAGAAGAATTAACACCAATCCTTCTCAAACACTTCCAAAAAATGGAAGAGGAGAGAACACTTCAAAACTCACTTTATGAAGCCAGCAGTACGCCAATACCAAAATCAAACAAAGGTACTACAAGAATTGAAAGCTACAGGCCAATATCCCTGATGAATATTGATGCAAAAATTATCAACAAAACACTAGCAAATCGAATTCAACAACACATAGAAAGAATTATACATGACCAAGCAGCAGTCATTCCTGGACAGCAAAGATGGTTCAACATACAAAAATCAAGCAATGTAATACATCACAATAACAGAATGAAGGGGGAAAAAACGTGATGTTCTCAGCTGATGCAGAAATAGCACATTGCAAAATTAAACTCCCTTTCATGATACAAACACTTAACAAACTAGGAATAGAAGAAAATTACCTTAACATAATAAAAACCTTATATGAAAAGCCCACAGCTAACATCAAATTCAATGGTGAAAAAAATGAAAGCTTTCCTTCTAAGATCAGGAATAAAGCAAGTATGCCCTCTCTAACCACATCTATTCAACATAGTATTGAATTATGCACAAAATATAATTTTTATATAATATAATATAATATAATTTAATTACGCACAAAATCTCATTTGGATCATGGCATCCAAATGAGAAAAGGAGAAATTAAAATTGTCTCTGTTTGAAGATGACATGATCTTATAAGTAGAAAAATCTAAAGATGACAGAGAGAGAGAGAGAGA